GATGTTTTCTTTGGAATGTGTATCTGTTCAGAGCAGGATGTGTATTCATGACATGCTTCATTTTTATTATGTAGACATATCTCACCAAAGAGACTGTTTCTGATTTTGCTGCAGACTGTAGATAGGATGAGTCAACTTCTGTTACAGCTGAGATGTGTGTTGCAATGTACCATTGGCTGTCCTGTCCTTATTTTCGAAATCTGTTCATTTGGGGGCATCAGTTCTGTACCTGGCTTCATTTATCTGAACTTCTCTCAACTTCCTCTTCCTTCTCATGAATAGAAACCCATCAGACTATGGGCTGATACCAGTGTTAGTATCACTAGTACTGTGGTACTGATCTTGGCTCTGTTTTTTTTTTTTTATGCTCTTTTTTTTATATCATAAATTCATGATTTTTCCTTCATTAAAACTGTAAATACAAGTTCCTCTGCACATCTTTCTTCCTTCTCAATTCCTGATATCGCCAGTAAAACTGCTTTAGCTGTTTATCTGGTCTTTTGTTCCTGTTGCAATGCTCAAATTTAGATTTAAAGCTCTTTGAAGTTTGGATCTGAGAAGTCCCTGGTAAACTTGTGATGATTTTTATTCGCACCATGTAATCCATCTTGTTTTTATTTCAGATGGGTGATCTACAATGACCTTAGAGTCTGTGCCTCAGAACGACCCCCCAAAGACCTGGGCTATATTTATTTTTACCACAGGATACCAAGTTAAGCCTCAAATGTATTATCTGGCCTTAAGAAGCCATAAGCCTTTTAACCTGCCAAAAAAAAATCATCCAAGGAAAAAAATAAATCAACAGAAGACCCCTAGCCCTGGGACTACCAAAAACAAAGGAAAACATGGGATGTTTATAGTTAATTTAAAAACAGTCATTTGATGCCTTCCTAAGCGTTAGAGGGAAAATTTCTATCAGGTGATGTATAGTACCTTGTTTTAAATTTATACACCGTGAAGGATACCTTAAGACCATGCAGATTACTGGTGGAGTTTGCAGCTAGCATGTGGAGAAAACAGAAGTTTCAGAATGGGACAAAACCAAACCAGTTCAGCCCAATTCCTACGTCTTCAGTCCACGCAGCTGTTGAAGACCATGAAGACCCATCTGCATCTTTGGTAACTAGGAGCCACTGTTTTCAGCCATATTCCAGACAACTTAGGGAAACTGTATCACGCTGAAAGTTGGAGGGAGGGGATGTATTCTACAAAGCAGAATGTCTTATTTGAGATTATTTTCATTACAGTGAGAAAAGCCAGCTACAGTTGTAGCTGTTGGAATTCAGTCTTACAGTGTTTTGGTTTGTGTTGTTGATCCATAAGCCTAAGAAATCAATGGAGATGTCAGTGTCCTGTACGTTTCTGCCAAAGAGAGGATTTTATTTTTACAGAGGTAGGTTTCTCCATCATCTCTAGACTGTTTGTTTTGCAAGGTCTTCCAACAGAGTCAAGATCACAGGTTGCTAAAAAAAGGCAGTTTTTCTGAACGTGAAATTAAATAGTGTGCTCTCAGGAAAAGTAAGCCTATCAGTTTTTCTGTGTTTTTCTTATGAAAGAGTTAATGTCCCATTCTTATTTCTGAAAAAGACTGCATGTCAATCACTCACATCCCAGCTGAAATCAACTCCATGACAAAGTACTTGCAGTGCAATTATTTCTGCTGAAGGTTGCATAAATATTGATTTCTATCCATAAGTGGGGGAAAACAGTAAAACTGTTGATTTTATTCATTTGCTCTTCTTTCCCTCCCTCCTCCCTTTCCAAAAACAAGAGCAATACACACCTAGTTTGAGATTGCTTGAAACTTGCAAACACGCCAAATAATGTTTTCTCAAACAGATGCCTTCAAAAAAAGGGGTTTTTAAATCTCTGGCAGGGATGAAGCAGTGGGTAGGTAGGGGCTGGCCTTTCCTGCCCTTTTCTTTTGGTTTGATTTTTGTTGTTGTTGTTTCGGTTTGCATCACAGGCAAGAATATATATGTTGGTTTTTAAACTGTAACTTAAAACATTTATTCTAGAAAAAAAATACAGTGGTGAATGTGGTTCTTTTTGTGATTCCAAAAAACTACCAAAGGTTCATGTGTGTGTTAAACACTGCTTAGAGATGGTTGATGGAGTTGCCTCGTGTAACTTACTTGAGCCTTCATAATAAATGGGAAGGGTCAAAAAAAACCAACTAACTTCCCTGCTGAGCTGTCACTGTTTCCTCTGTAGTGCCTGCAAATTTAATACCAAAATTCAAGCTGCAGAAGAGAATCCAAATTAAAAATGTGGTTATGAGTATTTTTTTCTAGGTTTTGGGGAAAAAGGTTTCTCCCTCAGATCACATGGCCTCGTGGAGAACTGACAAAAAATATTTTGAGTCGGTTTCTGATCTTGAAAGATGATGAAAAAAATCCCAGTGTAGTAATTCTGCAAATTGGAAGTGGTGCCCAGTTGCTGGGGAAGCTTCCTCCCAGTTAAAGTGCTCCTGTTGACACACAAGAACGATGCTGCAGCACCTCAGTAAGTGGCTCTTATGAGATTCTGCTGCTTTGTAGTTATTGTGGCACCAATTCTGGACAAAATCAAATTTACCAGTAATTTTTTTTCCTTCTTCAAGATTTTGTGAGTATTTGTGTGTATCACCAGAAAATGCCAGGTTTGCAAATGGGATCAGCAAATTATGCAGTGAAACATCTTCTATTTAAAGTGAAAGAACAAAACATTCTTGTATCTATATTTGTGCTTTTTCATTCTGGGAGTGAAAAAGGACAAAAGGCTTTTTTTTTTTTTTTTTTTTTTTAATGCCTAGTTATATCCCAAGAAACGTTCAACACAGCAGCTTCCCTTTTGCCTCATGATCTTAAAGGGCTATTTATAAACTGCCAAGAGCTGGTAGCCATTATCTTTTATTTAGAGACCCTGGGTAAGTAAAAGCTAACAGAGTTGTTACCATGTTCATTATTAAACTGGAAATATGGCTGTTCTCACAGGATTAAGGATGGAGCTTGGATTCTTGCAAACAATTTGTCTTGTGCATCCCGGATCAGAAATGGCTGCAGGACTGATCCTGGTTTCAGTTAACATATGGGGCACACTGAAAGCTGGGGTTTAGGAAGCTGGCAGGTGATAAATGATTTGGTAGATGAAAGAGGAGAGCTGTTATCTGGCTGTGACACATGAATGGTAGCATCTCGGCTTCTGAAGTTCTCTTCAGCTGAGCACTCCTGTGTAGTGCCTTCCTAATCTAGCAAGTGGGTCAGCAGTGTGGGGAGCAATTTATGGGGAAGGCTTACAGTCCTGCTGAAATGCAGCACTTGACAATATGTTCAGGTTCTCGGCTGTTTGAGGTTTTCTCTTATTTCCCAAAGTAGTGGATTGCCTCCTTTTCCAGATGAACAGTTAAGTTGTTTCCAGTTTGTGCTAGGATATGTACCAGGAACAACATGGTTTGGAGGAGCAGGATGTGAACCCCTGACTCACCAGCATAATGGGGGAGAGATGCATTTATTCATTTTTAACCTCAGCGTGCAGAAGACACAATCAGGCTGTAAGGAATAGATGACTAAATTACGAAGCCAGGATTGCTTTGCAAGCTAGAATTTCTGTGCAGTTAATTGTGTTGGGTCAGGTCTTCATGCACAACTTGGGTGGTGACTGATGTGGGAACTCTGTGTGTCTGGGTGCTGCAATGGCTGCTGCAGGGATGGGTGTGCTGAGAGCTGCTTCATAGGAAAGCATGGGGGAGGAACAATCACTGTGAGCTGCTTGAGACAATCTGACCTGAGAATTATGGCAAACCAGGACTTGGCAGCAAATAGTGCTGATATTTTTTTTAATAGATTTTTACCTTTCTATATGAAAAGTTTAGGTTGGGGCACTAGAAAGGAGAGAAAGTCAACTTGGTTCTTTTATTCCTAGCAGCATGCAGGATCCTGTACAGCTCTTATTCTGAGTCACAATCTCCAGTGTCCAAAACACATGTAGACACTGAGTCCTTTTTAATCTTCCTAGCCTGTATACAATTAAGATAAAAATTTATTTATTCAGTGCTATGGTTTAAAAACAAGTCCAGATATTTCTGGACTCTTTCCACTTGTAGTTCTGTTGGGTTCAGTGGTGTTACTTCTGACTGGCAGTGGTGTAACTGGAATCAGAATCAGCACAGTTTCTCTGTCTCAGGCAGCTTCCATTGAGTTGTGCACATTGTGAATACGGATGCAGCTGGAGTTCACTGGGTTGTTTTAGAAGCATCTCCATTCCTTTTGTTTTCAATCCTGGCAGCAGCCATTTTTATCTTTGCTGTTTTCACGTGTTGAAAGACTATGCAAAATATGTAACTAGACGTCACTTTTTATTCTTTTCCTATATCCCTTCCTACCTTGATGGCTGAGATCAGCTTCTGATTTCTGTTCACTCTTAAGAGGTTTTACTGTTGTATCCTGGAAGTGTCTGTGCTGGTTGACTTTGCACCATTCGGCGTTGTTTGCTTGAAGCACTGTTAATGTTTTTGAGAGTATTTGAGATGAGAAAGGTTGTGAATGGTATTGTTGCAACTGTTTTAAATTAAAAAGGAAATATTCTCACATCTTGTGGCTGTGTGGATTCTTTCTTTCTCTCCTGTCCAAACTCCAGAGGAGCAGACCAAGCGTGTTTTGGTGCTGCCTCTTTTCTTACTTTCTGTGGTGATGTTTGGTGTGTTACATAAAAACGTGCATAGGGAACAGGAGTTTGTAAGGGGCTTGATCTCTTGTGACTGATGGCAACAGATAAGTAAATGGATCTCCTCTAAAGAAGCAAAAAAAACCCCACAAAAAACAAACAAAACAAAAAAAGCCGACAAAGGAAAACCAAAGTCCTGGGTGAATATAAAACATGCCAAAGCTAGAAAATAAGATTTAAACTAAGTTTAATTTTTTTGTACGTTTTAAGCCAACTGCCATTTTTGAATGCAAGAGTTAGCACTCTTCTGCATGAACTCTGCCATCATTTTACCCTGGTCCCTGCTGTTCAGCTTTGTCTTGGTCTGTAATTCATCATCTTCATTTTGGAAGTTGACCTGCTGATCAATAAAGCAGAAGCTTGGTGTTTTTATTTTTCCTTTTATGCAATAAATTTGCATAGTAGCATGACCGCTGGGATCTTTGGTAGATAGAGGAATAGGCCAAAAAATGAGTCTGATAGGTGGTGACCCTTTCATCTTTTCACAGGATCACGGGGCCATGAGCCAGAGGAGATGTGAGAGGTAAACCTTCCAGGTCTTAAGGGGCTTTTTCTGACATGGAAGTCGGGGTCATGTTAAGTACTGAGTGATGACGAGAAAGATAAAGATGATTCAATCCTGGAAGTCCAAATGTAATGATATGTTGGTTCCTTTTATCACAGACGTCCATTGTGACCATGGCAGGCTGCTCTGCACCACACTGTTGCCACTTGCAGCAACTGGAACAAGGTGAGGGATCCTCCTGCAAGCTGAGTGGCACAACTTAGGGCTCTGTTCAGACTTCTCGTGGTGATGTACCGTGCAAGAGCTGTGCCTGCTGACTTCTGCAGATTGCTTGGAGAAGGCAATATAAAGTAGCTGACAGGTGAATACCACTTCTGTGCTCTACTCCTCCTCACAAGAGTGGGAAATAACACCTCTCCATCTCTCTGGTGTGCCGCAGGCTTGACATGGATCAGCATGGCACTGACTGCTGTGATGAAAGATGAGTTCTGTAACCATACCAGAGACGATGCATGTCCGACAGCTGGTGTGCAGTAAGTGATTATGTTGTGCCTTTAAAGGTGTTTCTATTTTTTAGCAGTTCTGTACGTAGGATTTCCTCCCAGCCGCTCTCTTGCTTTGCCTTCAGCACTGCGGTACTGAGTCCCTGATCTGTGCCGTGGAGCACATAACTAATGGACACTGCTGCTTGTTCTTTGTCAGTACACCCGAGCAACAAAAACTAACCAGAACATCTCCTGGCAAAACACACCATTGTCAAGAGCACAACTACTTTCAACTCAAAGAGTTAGTGAGTTTTCAGTGTCTGTTCCCTTTTCTTCTGTAGTGAAAGGCTGCTTAGGCCACAGGGAGCCAGCTGACTTCTCTGACAAGAGTTTTCCTTCCACAGGCAAACTGTGGCTCTATCTCCTGTTTGTCGTTCTTTTGTCTGTCTGTTTTTGTCTGGGTTTTTTTGTTTGCTAGGTTTTGTTTTTCTGGCTTGTCCTAAGTGTCCACTGGCTGTGCCAACAGGTATTCAGATACATTCTAACTTTGTTTCTTAGTGGCCCTCTGCTGTAACTGTCACAGCTGCTCTGTTCACAGCAGGGCACAGGTATCTGTCCTTGTGTCACGTCTGTGCTTACATCAGTCTCGATAGCAAAACCATTTGCAAAAAGCCCTTCCTCTGCAAGTCAGTCAATCACTTGAAGTTGGCTTTGGTGCTTCCTTGTTTATTCTTTTTTCTCTCCGGAAGCATTGTGCCATAGCATTACTTCTGCTTTTATTTTGAAGTGTGCAGTTGTGTGACCTTCAGGAAAAATTCTCATACTTTTTTTTTTTTTTTTTTTTTTTCCATTTTCCTTGTACAGAGAGTATGTGCAAAACCTCTTGGTCCAGTCCTCAGCTGCTATGAATTCCAGTTGTAAGTACAATTGAAATATTTAAAAATAAAAATAAATTAAACAAAAGGGATTAAAAAAAGGAAACAAACAAACAAGCAACCTCAGAGCAACGTGATTAAAATTAGAGCTAATTAAAATCTTCTGGTTAAGAAAAAAAACCCATCTTCTGGCCTTAATGTGTGTGCAGAGAAGCACAGCTACAACATAAACAATAGGAAAGAAGCCTTGGATTAAAAATCCTTTGTTTCTCTTGAAGAGGTCTCTTCTGACTTCATTTACTTGAAATGAAAACCTTCTACAAATGGAGAAGCGATTTGGAAATATTTGAAGCCACAGACAAAGTTTTATTTTTTAAAACATATTTAAAAATCGCACAGATATAAATACAGATAAATAAATACAATTTATTATGTGGAAAAGAACCCAAGGAAGGCATGCTTCCATTACAGTACAAAAATACTACATTAAATGGTGCTCTGCAAATAGTAACTATGAGCTTAACAAATTTAACACATCCAATATGCACGTAATAATCTATTTCTTCAAAAATCAACTATTTTAAAGAGCAGTGCAAGGGAACAACAAATTAAAGCATCAGTAAACTACAGTTCTGTGTTTAATATTGTACACAGCTGATAATGCACTGGGAATAGAGAGGTGAGTTATTTGTCATAAGAAACATTTTCTTTTTAAAACTCCATACATGCTTGCAGACTCAGATTCTCAGTCAGAGTCTGTATGGACCTTTGTAACAGAATGTAAACATTCAGGAGTAGGGCTGAACTCCCACCTCTGCATCCGCCTCGCTGCGATGCCTTGCACGTTCACTTGCCCACCAACAGGAAATGTGAGCCACCAAGTCTGCACAGCAGCACGGCTCTCCAGACAGCCCAGGTGAAAGTATCTGCCAACCCTACAGTCTCTTCTTTCTTGTTCATTGGCTTAAAAATAAAGCCAAAAAAAAACAAATGCAAGTTTGCAAAGGTTTTCAAACCGTTTACAGTGTATAGAAGCAGCTGCACAGAATGCCTTTCAAAACTATATAGTTTTACTTTAGATATGTTATACTCTGATATATAAAATATATTTATAAATGTTTCGATTTTTCTGTCTTTACAATAATTGCTGATATTAAAAAGGCTGTTTAAATTAAAGTTCTAGCCACTGTCATCGGCAGTCTGTAAATGTGGAAGGGGAAAAAAAAGATCAAATCACATTAAGTCTTGACTGCAAGCATTTGCAAAGTTACAGCTTAGTATTCCTTCTGTCTCTCTCACGTGCACAGTACCTACTGCTTGTGGGCTGAGGCTCTGACACTTCTGTGGGTTCTGTGGCATGCTTGTTTTTCCTCTTGCTTAGCTTTGTTCAAAGCATCAGTGGTCACTTCATGCATATGGTACTCTTGTCTCTGATATATTTCAGCAATCCAGAACTAGAACTATAATGAAATAATCTGATTTCTAGCCTAGATGAGGTTTGAATAATAGATAATACTATGTTTCATATGGCCTAAACCACCAATTATTTTCACAACGTGCGGTGCAATTTTCTGCCACTTCTATCTGTAAATGCTCAGTATTATAAGCAGTTATAACATAGATTCACTGTACTGACTGCAAAATTGACAACGCTGCTGACCAGAAATCTCTCGAACTGTGCAGGTTATCATGTGAAGTAACTAACACGTCTCATTTTGCAGATGCGTGTTCAGGTAAGGGAGACCTGCAGCCAATCTGTGTGACAGTCCCAGCTCTCCCCTGCTCTGACAGTGATTTAGGCCTCTAGCTGCCGGTAATTCCTTAGTTGTTATTCCTGATGTGGAGGCCTGTGCTCTACAAATGTTGGTAAGACCCTCTGGCTGATCTGTTGGTGCTGCTGAGGTCCTCCTGTCTGCCTGATGGACAAGCCCAGGTTTTCTAAATTGGCCCATTCAGCTCTTGTGCTGAGCTTTCAGCTGAGTCAGGCATCCGCAGCTGAAGTTGGTGGATGCGGGAGATTGTCAGCTCTGTGAAGTTTTACTTGTTTTAACCAGAACAGTCAGAGGGACAGGCAGCCTTTAGAGCTAGTGGGCAAGCTTGAGAAGCCTGGCCACAGTGAGTGCACACAAGATGGCAGTGGCTTCAGTGGTTCTGGGAGTCTTTTTCTCTGCTTTGGTGCTGTCTAATTTTAATTAGTAAAGGAAACACGCAAATCCAATCACCCAGCTTCATGGTGAAAGCTGTGCGCATCTCACTTCTTGATTCTTAAGAGGATGCCAAAACTTGTCTGCAGGCACTCTGGCTGCAGATGTCTGTCAATAATTAAACATGAAATCCACAACACAGTGATTTCCGAGGTTGAGGTTTAAAAAGGGCTCTGTGTTTTGTGTAAACTTTTCCAAATAATCTGAACTCAGTCTTGAATTTGGCAGATGCAAAGTGCTTTAAAATATCCCACAGAAGATACTGATTAATAGATTAAAAAATACCCTGTGTGCGCACCCTCTGCATGCATTCTTTAGACGTATATTTGGGTAGCAGCACCACATGCTTTGTATTTATATTTCAGTACAGTTATTTGTTAATGTAGTTGCATGCAATATTGTCATATGAGGTTTAGCATTATTGGAACCTCCCCTTGGATAGCTGCAGAAGTGCTCTGATATAACAGATTTTAAGAAATACCATTGCATACAGATATGTTTGTATTTACCTAGAGATCAAATCCATACTTTAAACAAACAAACCGGTCTATTGCAACAAGGGTATCAGAGTCATTACAGTTTAAAAAGATCAGCAAGAAATGAGCCTATTGCTTTCATTGTAAAGCCTCACTCCATAAATAATCCCTTTGATTCTGGTTACTGTTGAGCACATGCAGTGCTATCAGAGGGCAGCCCTCATCTGCTAACAGCATTTGAGCTAATCATGCAAAGACCACAGACTTTGAGTGTTCAGCAGCTTCATGGATCAGACTTGTTATAAATAAATACTTGTAAATCTTTGCAGAGGAGAGGGACAGTCACAAGCGTGGCTTAGGAAAGTGCTGCTTGCTTGCGTGAAATATGTAAAACAGAGGAATGACTCAAGCTTGGAATCAATTACCTGGCAGTGATAGATTACCTCTGGAGAAAGGGGAGTAACAAGAAGGGGAAGCAGGAGTGGGAGGTGATGATAAACTGTCACAGCACTAATTTAGCATCAGCCTGTAGATTCTGTGATGTTGTGACCCAGGAGTGTCTCAGGATGTCATCTCTGCTGAAATTTCTAGTCCTTAAGTAAAACTGCTTTCTTACTTGGATCTGGGCAACCACATACTTGTTTGCCTTCTCTGAATTTGTGGGTCACCCTACACACACAGTCTGTGAGACAGCAGCGTTCCTCTGCCTTTGTGTGATTCCACAGTGCACAGTGGCTGCCTGCACATTTGGATGAGCAGAGGATGGAGGAGATGTTGACTGGGGGGAGCTCACAGGGAGCAATGAGAAGAAGATCCAGATTTCCTGTCTCTCACCCTTGAACTCAATATGCTACTGTTTAGCAGCCTTATTTATCCTGCCTTGTGCCTGGTTAGAATTACAGTGGCTGCACTTTTTTCCTAGGGTGTTAATATGCTGCAGTCTCTCCTGACCACGAGGAGTCCTGTCCTGTGCACTGAGAGTGTTTGGTGATGGGGGCTGCAGGAGGACAGTAAGGCCCAGAATTCTGAAGTATGCACAGCACTGAACCTAGAAGTACCAAGAGCTGCTCAATGCAGGGACGTTTGGCACAAAGGCTGCCCAGAAGGTTTTCCTAACAAAATTTGTGTTAGTCGTGCACGTGATAGAGAAAAACATAGAGGTTTAGTGAACTGTCATCCATATCAAATGTTCCTTGTCATTCTGACTTGAGTTTTTTTATTTGAGAGGTATAAAAATATAATTTTTGAGCAGCTCATTCCTCTGGGTAATCCCTAATTATCCTACAGCAGAGCTGATATTATAGAAGGACTTGTGTGATGGGTAGGGCATCAAGCAAAATCTAAGCACATATGCTTTTGCCTTACAGTCTCTTCTCAAAGCTGCCTCCCTTCCCTCTTATCACTTCCCAGATTCAATTGCAGTGCACCTTCTGCTCTGCTTTATCGATACGGGGCTGTCGTCACACATCGCTGTCAAAGCAAAGAGCAAACTGTTGTCAGCAGATATGCATACAGCAGCGTGCTTAGCTAAAATGTCATTCCCAGGCAGTCTTGGATAACCAGTCCTTAGAGAAAATTGAAGAAATAATTTGTCATTATATGCTTGATAAATAAACAGGAACGTATATAAACAGTGAATCAATAGAGCACTACTAAAAAATTCTTGTAGCTGTTTCAGCACTTCTATGGGTATGAATGAGAGGTAAGCCTCTTATTTGTAATAAGAAATGATTATTTTAGCCAATTATGTTGGTAATTAGGTGCAGTGATTGCACTAATTGAGTTGGAATTTTCCTTTTAGTGGTTGCTCAAAATAACAGGCAGCTGCAAGAAACTTAAGCTCATACTGTTGGAACTGTCCGATTCTCATAGAGATTCTTACTTTGTGATTTGTGCATGTGATTTTTTCTTAAGCAGTTCAGTTTTTCTGTTTTGTTGTTGTTTTCAGTGCTGTTTACAGGAAATGTGCCACTCGTCCCACTTCATCACACTCAAGTATCTACCCTGCACCTTGCGTCCCTGGCCACAAATCAGTGCAGTGCTATCTGGTTTTTTCCACCGTTCAGAAAAAAGTAGTAAAAATAAAATAACTGAAAATGACTCGCCTTAGAAATATATCTGTTCCTCTATTTGATTGACACCTTTATCTCGAGCTAAGCCTGTTTGCATTGTACCAAAATCAATCCATTTGTTGTGTAACTGTGCAGCCCCATCCCTCGATACTGTTCCCCATTCATCCAAGCAAGAAAAAATTAAAATGAAATGCATATATATTTTTAAGGAGCTAGAAGTACTGATGTTATCTAAGCATTTAGCCTGCTGTGATAGAAGTCACTGAAACTTTTTGCTACTGTTTGCCACAACAGCAGGATTGCATCTCAGTCCCGATCGTACAAGCATTAAATAGAGGCTACTTTTCAGCAAGAACTTTCCCTTGAGCATGCTTTGCAGGTATGAGCTCCTATGAAGACTCTTTTTATTTGCCAAAGTGCTCTGTGGCTTAATATGTTTTGAATGACGTAATACACACAATATGTGCATGCACATGCATGCATATGTAGTACCTGATGCATAATAGAATAATCTTTCTAGTAGATATTGCAGTTTATATTGTATTTGCATCATTTAAACATAAGAATGTTGAAAACCCTCTTATCACATTTCAGAAAATGATGTTTGGTCCTCTATGCCAACAAGGCTATCCTGTAAATTCTGCTTTTAGTAATTAAAATAAAAATAAAGCATAGCACAATTTTACAAAAAGAAAGATTAAAGTGCATAAGTACACATTGACAGATCCTGCTGTGAGGTCCTTTGAAGCAGACATTCTCTGTCCATGATCAGGGGTAGCTGGTTTAAACAGCAACAATTCTAGTGCAAATTACTGCTTCTGCTTGCAACAGCTGTCCTTGCCATATACACATGGCCTAATCTCATAGACCTCCATGTAGTGTTCCCGTTAATATCGAACCTGATTTGCACGGAACTTGGCCCAAATTAATCAAGGTACCTTTGGAAGCAAAGTTGCCAACTTTGAAACACGTTCAAAACAAAATGCATCCCTTTTTCATGCATCTGTTTTCAGAGCTGTGTTAAAGATGAACCTTGAAGATACTTCAGAGAAAGCAAAGGACGTAGAATTCATGTTGCGTGGTGAAGTGATGTCAGCATAGTGAGATCAGCAACTAAGCAGGTTCCTTGGATGCACTTCTTGCCATTTTAATGTGCCATAATTATTACCTAGGTTTGTTTTTCACATATTTCTTCATATATCTGTTTGTGTGGATATATATAGAGAGCGTGCATGGGATGATGATCTTCATCTAATTCAGGGCTTTGTCAGATCAGCTGCTGCTCATTTGGATCCTTTGAGTCTGAGCATATTTAGAATATTTTGTGCTTTTGAATTTTTCCTTTTTGAATAACATCTGAGAATTCTGCTACTGATCTACAGCCGTGATCTTTTTTAAACTGTGATCATTTTGAGATGAGTAATAAAAGAGTTCTCTGCTTCCTAATATAACTTAATTTGTGGATGCTTTGTATTACGGCTCTAGATTAAAAGCTCTTAATAGAATGTCTAGGTCGCCCACATTGGCAGCTTGAAATAGTTCTGGCTGGTCCATCATAGACAAAGCAATTCTAAGTGCTGCCCAGATATTGCCTGATAGAGCAGGATGGGGCACCTGCTGTTGATTCCTGCTTTTCCTTTGCAAACTGAGAGCCGTGAGAAAATTGCTGACAGCCTCTCTGTAGGAAAGAAAAGAAAGATGTAATGTAATGTGCTTAATGAATAGCATAAAACTTCAGGAAATACCATTCTGGAATTGAGTGTATTTTTTAAATACACTCACGTGTGTGTGCACCTCTCAGGCCTTTTGGTGTTACTCTTGTTTGATTTTCTTTAAACAAATGGATGTGACTGTAGTACTCCAGACCTTACTTCATTGGTATGCTTTATTGCTGTATAGATCTCTCTCATCTTGAACGTCCTAAGCTGACAGTAAGGACCCCTATAATGTAAACCTGTGTTTCCTAAAGGTTGTATTAAAAGTACTTTTGACAATATTAACTACTGTAAGCATTTTAACTGGAGTTTCCCTTATAGATACAGTTTTATAATTTTCTTTTTTCTCTTTAACACAGGATTGAGAGTGAGAACAATCCCACAGATGTTGATAGCATTACTTGCACTTAGAGCTAGGAAAAATGCTTAAGCATCTTGTTGAATGGAGGATTTTTAAATTCAGTAATTCTGTTATGTAGGTTGTATGGATATAAACAAAATATTACTCATTTATTAGTGCTTTGTAAAATATATATATATTAGCCGAGATAATTAAACTGTATTCTATTTTTTTTCTTAAATAGCTCTAGCTAGAAAATGAATTTTCACTTGGTAGATATGATTCCTGATTCTTTCGTTTACACATATTTGTAACTTACCTGTATGCTCCTAAGTTGATGCAGCTTATGCCTAAATTGTACCTGGACCTAATGAAGCCAGGTTGTATTTCTAAAGCACGTGTGTAAGCCTCAACAGCTTCTTCGCTTCGATCCCCATTTGCCAGGGTTGCTCCAAGACGGTTCCATAACGTGTAGTCCTGGTGAGAAAATGAATTCTCTACTGTAGGTGTCAATAGGAGGCATAACAGCTCATCTTTGATTGCAAAGTAAGGTAGAAAATAACAGTATCATATCCTCTCTTCATTGATACAGAATGGAAGTTTCTGGCTCGTGATTATAGGCGACTTTAAATAACCAGTACGATTAGTCATTGTGCAGCTAGAAATCAGACATATGTAACTCTACTTATATATACTCCAAATGGGGCTGTCTGATAATTAACACTTCTTTCAAGTGTTAAAATTTTAATGACCCAAGCAACATCTCATTAATATTGGTCTGATCAAGAAGGGAGGAAGGAAACTGTGAAACACAGTTGTTAAAAATGAGAAAGCATAAAATGTACCTCTGGCCGAACAGTTAAAGCAGCACTAAATGCATCTATTGCTCGGTTAAATTCTCCATTCAGGTGGAAAAGAACTCCAAGTCCTGTCTGCAAGTCAGGGTCTATCACGTCACCATTCTGGTGAGCAGCCTCCAGGTATAAATCCTTTACTTCTTCAAGTAATGAGCTAGACGAGAGTGAAAAATAACATGAAGTTGCATCTTAGAGATCATAATTATTGTACTTGATGTTTCAGAAGTGATAAACTTGAAAATAAGCTGCTTGAGTTCAATCACAGCAGAGATATGCTTCTCCATCCTGTTGCAAGCTCATTTCTGAAATACAGAAGTTTACCTGTGTAATGAAGTCAAAGTGAAGCTATGAATCCAAGTAAGAAAACGTGAATGCTTATTATTAAAGCTAATGAAATTAGGTGGGTTTCTCAGTCGTAAAAAGAGTAGCTGTTTTTGGAGCTGTAAATGACTAGCCAAGACCCCTGAGGATGGATGCCAAAATTTCCATCTCCTATATGTGCTGTAGGCTTCATAAAACCTCATCGGCAGTTCTGGGTGATGAGGCCAAAGTAGAGCAACTCTCTTATCAATTAAGCTGAACTTGCATATTACATTTTACTGACATTATCTTGTCAACCTGAGGCTCCTTCCTGATAAGGGAAAACATAAGGCCTGTCTTCAAAATGATATGCAGTGAGACAGCACTAGTGTTTTGGTTCTATAAATGGTGTCTATGCCTTTAATGAATTTATTATGAATTTCAAACTTCAGAGAGATTAATTGATTGGCCTCATGAAAATATGATGAAGGGCTGCCAAGTCATGATTTCTTTTGTTATTTAAAATGGTTGCCAGCTCCCATTACAGTATGCTGGGCTAGAGACAGAAAAAATGACCGCATTGTCTTTGTTTAAAAACAAAATGAGTTTTAAACAAGCAGATGCTACCTCCCAATTATATTCAGTGAACTGAAGCCATGTCCCATGGCAAAATGGCTGATGTTCCTGGATTCTAGAGAGTTGGTTGGGATATAGGAAATTCGATGAACAATAGAAAGAATGCGTACGTAGAGCAATACAACCTGGTAGGAATTTGGAAGCAGTAGAATGAGGATTTTGGGAATAAAGAAGCTGCAGTCAGGATGAATAGGATTAGTAGAAAGTTATGGGACTTGAAGCAACAGCTATCTTTTGATTGCAGTTTATGTTAACTTCCATGGATGGAATAACGTAGTCCTTAGTCCCTAAACTGAATGTACTGTTTGTTTCCTACCTCTGCCTCTATGGACATTTAGTTTCTGGGTTTCCATCACAGGCAACGGGCTGGACTTCTACACATTAAGGGCACAGCATGAAGCATTGTTTGTAGTGGTCATTACATCTCAGCCAGCAGGATTTAACTGCGTTTACCTTTCATCTGACGTCTTAGACATTCTCCTGGTAAGTGCTGGGGACCCTTTTTTGCTTTTCGCTATGTACTTGTACTTTGGATTTAGCTTTATCCAGTTTCGTAGAGCTTGGTAGGCTTCCTGTTGGTGACCTGTGTTAGTATAACTTACAGCCAGTGCCATCAGAGCTTTTAGGTTGTTTGGCTGCAGTTCCAAGCACCTAGGCAGAAAATAAAAATATGTTGAGGGTTTTTGTTTGTTTGTTTCTAGCCAACCACATTCTTGAGTGCTTTCAAAATAGTCCCTGTCAATAAATAAGTCACTTAAAAAAGATCTATCCAACAATATTTTCAAAGAAGAGGCTTTGTTTTACTGTTCTGTGGTAAGCACATTATGCATTTGTACACAAACATGCATGCATGGGCCTTTGCATACACACATGAATGTATATAAATATGTGCACACTGGTAATGCTCTCATCTTTTTCATTATGAGTAAGTTGAGTGGGTAGATTGGTTTTATATTTTCTGTCTAGCAAACAAAAAGTTTAACTGAAATTCCTGCAAACAGTTTAATATGATTTTCAGCTCTGCAAAAAAGTATTTTGAAGAAAAAAAAATCACTTTCCTATGAATCATCTCACAAATACTAAATTCTCAGTAATTCTTTGATAACAATGGAGCCAGTAAACTGGAATAGTCTTTCTACAGCTGTATATCATGAACTGAAAATAAAATCTGGCCTATTTTTTGAACGTCACTCTTGTTTTAAAACTGGGGGAATAGAAAAGCCCTACATCAGGCAACCCCTTGGTCTTCTGTCTAGGTAAAATGGAAAGTTAGGTGTAAGTGAGAGCATCCCTAGGTGATAACTTGATGGTTAACGCTGCTAATGCAATTGAAATTTGAGAGGATACTTCTTAAGTGGAAACATGAAAACTCACTAGCGGAAGTAATAATAATGCTGATATTTTAGAGCTGACTTTTACATACAAGTATCTTCATCAACCACAGATATTCTCAGATTAGTATTCAGCAGCTGGAGGTGATTAATTCTAATTGAAAAAAACACCAACCTCTTTGTTAAAGGACAGACAACAGAAAATATGCTAAGTGGCTAGGATATCAAAAAGGTACTTCATTTGCATTATGCCTAACTGGTGTTTATCAGACCATGCAACTTTCCTTCAGTGCAATTAATTACATTATTAGATTAACTATTCTACTTATTTCATACAATAGAAAGACTAATCAACCGTCTGTCACTTTCTACACCTGTGTCAATGCTTTGCTCATTTAAATGAATGGTTCAAGTTACAAGACAAATATGAGGTTAAATATACCTAGGTCTCCGTTACCCAATACTCATTCGACCCCTTATTTAGTGGTTATCTTTATCTACCTTTGGAGTGCGACAATGGCTGCTTGCTCATTTTCATTCTCTGCCTGTGTTATGCCCAGGAACTGCCAGGCCTGCAAAAATAATCATCATCTTGTTTTGTTATACAGACCCAAGTGCAAACACTTACAACTAGTATCACTTCCAGCGGGGAGGAGAATAAAGATTGATCTGTTCAGCAGTAATTACAGTTTTTTCTACGGTGTACAGACCAACAGTACAAATCAGTGCAGTTCTGAATGCCTCTGAGCATGATAATATTTATAATCAGTTGATGCAAAAGTGTTTTGTCAATGTGTAAATGCATACTGGTTTCTCAGATGTAAGTTACTGTACATTTTAAATGTTGCCAGACTATTACAGAAAGCGCTGAACAACGATTAAGTTACGTATGTTTAAGGGATTCCTGAGGGTCTAGGAATTCTCTGTGCTTTTTGAAACACTGCTGCTTATTTTACAGTAGCAATAGATTCAAAGAGATCTGTATGCTTACGTTGTAAATATTCTTCAGGTTTCAGTAATATTGTGGAAAATAATATGATTTTAAGAAAAGTCTTAGAATTCTTGTTAAATCATTTTTTTTTCCTTTTTGTAATGATAGTGTTTAATAGATTGAAAACATTGGGAAAAGGGAATGAAGCATTTAAAATATTGTCTCTCTTCAAAGCTTTTAAATGACAATGTGGCAATTCTGTCATTTCAAAAATAGATTATCATCTTATGGAGAGCTCCCTGTTATCTATTTCAGAGCATATGTTATTCCAGAACCACCATAGTTGTTCAAGCTGTTGCAGTCAGTCATGACTAGCAAAGCTTTGGGTCATAGAACCATTTCATCTCTGTATGCTAAAGGGAGCCCCCTTTCCTTTGTCAACAAAAAGCATAAGAGTGAATACCTCTGCATCATTGGGCTCTTGTAGAATAGCAGCCTCCAGGTACAGGATTGTAACAGGCAGGTCACCTTCTTTCATTTTTTTCAGTCCTTCCTCAAAAGCACCTGGCCAGTCTTTGAAAGGATTTTCTGTATGGAAATAATATCCCTGGGGAAGAGAATGAAGAGAGCCATGTTGAGCCCTGTAGTGAGGGATAGCAACTATGAAATTAAGTTTTCAGTATATTCTACCAGGACGTAAACATTTTTTTCTATGAAAGAATGGATAAGCTCCCCTGTAAAATTTGAATTACAAAAACTGTAAAAGCAAACATCACTGGCCATTTATATTTGTGCTCTCTGTATATTTACTTGATCATTAGTTATGCTGAACGGTACTTATGTTGGGTGTCAAATATAATGGCAGAGGCTCACATTGCAATAGCAGCAGAATTGAACCTAGCATGAGCTCAGTACATCCCATTTTATGGAAAAGAGCATAAAGAGCACAAACCAAGAGGCTGACTCCCTGCAGTGCCTGCAACCTCATCTCTATTTGGTTAATATCCTGGAATCTTCAATTAATTTTCAAGATGAACAGTAGTGTTTCAGGTGCCTGAGTTGAATTTGGGTGTTTTTTGTTTTTTTCTTTTTAAAGTTTTGCTTTTTTCCTCTTCATGCCACTGCAGTGTGAAGAATGTATGCTAATATTAGCTACATAATGTATGCTGAGTTAAAGCATACAAGGAAGGGAATGAAGAAGAGTGTTTGAGTGTGCCTGTCTGGATTTTTTAGTACTTGATGCTCTTCCTTGAGCGGCTGTTTTCAAATGTACTCAGACTCCAGCAGTTTGCTTTGCAATCCATTTGGCTGAATTCACACACTCTGCATGGCTAAATGTATTCCTACTGTGGTACCTTCTCAAATCTTACCCTATTCACAGTCAATTTAAAAAGGATGAGTTCTTTTGGATAAAATTGGCTTCCATATCCCAGAAGAGTTTTCTTGGGATCCCATGAACAGCTGAAGCTCATCTAAAAATTTCATGGGAAGGATGCACAGTTTGAAAACAAGTTTGTGTTGTTACCTTCTCAATGGTAGAGATGGTGACTTGCCCTGGTGCTTCTTGGTTCTCTGAAATCCAGTTCCTGCGAGCCATTTCTTCCCATTCTGCTTGCATTTTATCCCAAAACTCTGTGTCTGACTAGAAGAAAAAAGATGAAAAAATGAACAACAAAATCCTAAAATAAAACGAAAGGCTTTTATTATACTTTTTTTAACAAGTGGCAATTTTGCTGAGCAGTGTTCATTCTATTAATAATCATGCTGACTGAAATACTACAGTACAAATATGGAATTTCATATAATTAAATTTCATCTCCTGTATTGCAATGTATTTCTTCGTCAGAAGACTCTTTATCTCAGAGGCAGCATATGTTCTGTCTGAAGCAGGATTTGCAGCAGTTTACGCTGCGTCTCATTGATGCTAACAGTAAATTGTTACTTTAAAATTTGAATGGAAATGAAAGGCTCATCCCTAGCCAAAATGAAAAACAAACCCTAAGCATACGTGCTAAAGAATAACAGTAGTTAAAAGTTTCTTTAAAAAACAAGCAAAAACAATTGTCCTACTTTGATGGATTCAGCATCATTTTTGCCATGTAAAAGAGTAATCACCAAATTTAGTGTGTGGACAAGATATTTAATGTAAATAGAGTCTTCTGACATAGTGGAGAAATCCTAATATTCATAGTGTCATAGAATGGTTTGGGTTTGGAAGGACCTTTAAAATAATCCAGTTCCAACCCCATAGCTATAGGCAGGGACACCTCCCTCTAGAACAGGTTGCTCAGCCTGGCCTTGAATGCTTCCAGATTGAGGGCATCCACAACCTCACTGGCAAGCTGTTCCAATGTCTCACTGCCCTCACAGTAGAGCACTTCTTCCCAATATCTGTTTTTTCAGCCTCTTCACCTTACCTATAAACCGTGAAAAGCAGTGCCATAGCAGAATATGTGCTCAACACTGCAAGCCTTTGCAAAGTTCCCCAGTTCCTTCAGGGCATGGCCAGGACCATAGTGCCAGTGAAATGACACTGCCGAGAGTGCAGTTTCTCAGTTTGTTTATGTCAGAGAATTAATAATTCTATTGAGGTATAGACAGAACTATTTGAGGGTAAGGTACAAAATTAGATTTAGATTTATAAATTTAGAGATGTTAGAAACTTGCTCACACAGTTCTGTCTGAATTTCTACTGGCAGATTGATTGCTCTTTGATACTGTTCTGCAGCCAGGCGTGATTTGCAAAATCTTAATTTGTGAATGTGTGACTTGCCATAACTCTACTCCTCAGGCACTTGGAAAAAGGAAAATGCAGACTGTTAACAGATCTAGAATGAGTCAGCAGCCAGAATATGTGAGTCTGGATGTAAAGGGTAGGACCACAGCCACTGTCAGTAGGTGCAATTGCTATGAATCACGATGCTGTTTACAATGGCAATGTACATTCCCTCCCTACAAATCTGTAAGGCATTTCCCTTTGGTTCTTGCTGTATCACCTCCCTTGGATATCCAGCGCTTCCTTCCAGGAGGCTCAGACTTGTATGAATTATGCAATTAGCAGATCTGTGAAGATACCTGCTATGTTACTCTGCAGACTAGGAAACAAGCGTGAATCATTCATGTCCAAAGAGAAAATTACATTCTTTTTAATAGAAGCAAACAGAAGATGACAACTCTGTTACAAAACAGCTTCTGAGGTTTCAAAATTTGCTTTCATTCCAAATTTGAAGGAAATAGAGTCATTTAAATAGTTGTGAGATTGTGCTGAAATATCCATTTAGGAACTGAAAAGGCTGGGATAAAGATTCAGATTGCTCCCTCTTTTATCAACCATGAGCAGAAGCACTTGAATCACTTCAACTATCCTGTTCAACAAATGTCTCCATGAACTATTTTGCATTCAGTGCAAATCTGCACTGCACTGAAGAAGAAAATTACTTGACCATGTTCTTACTAGAGGTAATTTTGAGATTCAGGAGGAGGAAAGGTAGTGGAAATTTCCCTTTCCTGCAGATTAATATTAATATAACCACTATATATACCGTAATTATTAATGCCTTTTAAAACAGATTAAGTTATAGATCTAATGATACGTGTGTATGTATACATATATATATATGTGTATATATATATATATATCATGCTTATAATGTTTTTTTTTTTCTTGTATTTTTCACACAAATATCACTTTTAGAGCCCACTGACTTGGAAGCATATAAATCACATTTCTTCAGCATATATAAAATCACTTTCAAGTGTTTTAAGCAAGGATGTAAGTGTTCTTAGGTCTTCAATTCGAATTCTGTTGCTCAATTACATATTTATTACCCACCCAGAAGTTTACTGTGTGCGTACTGCACTTAAAAAGCCAATGAATTACTATGTGTTTAAGTATCCATGCTTGATGTTTATAGTGAATCAAAAGTGGAGGAAAAATGAAGTAAGAGAAGAGTTACTATGCTGTAAGGTCACTTATCTCGTGCCACTTGGACGTGGGTCAGGACCCACCTGGTATTTTGCAGCTGTAACCAGGATTTGTAAGGTTGGGCAGGGTGGGCGCTTCCTTTGTGCGCAGCAGCCCTGTGAGCAGCATTCAGTCTTAGGGCTCCTGCACCAGCTACAGCTTCTGAAGTGCATCCAGCACTTGGGGTTTCTGAAGCACATGAGGCAAAGCTATGTGGAGCAACTGGATCATGCTCAATCATGGCACCTGGTAAAATGCCATAACATTACCATGGCAAACAACAATTTCAATATCAGAGCAGTTCAGTGTCCTTGAGGAAGAGGATTGTAAATATTACAGTCTTTACTAAAGGCCTAATTCTATTTTAGCTGTTATGAGTAGCAGTTTTCCATTGACTCCAGTGGCAGGGGAGTTAAATTAATATTGAGTGCTTCTGAAAATCTGGCTATGGCTCAAGACTCCTAACTCTAATTTTAACTCCATTTGCTATGTGACTGGTGCTAATTATTTCATTTCAGTGTTTTTCCTACCTTAATGCTGACAATTTACTTTGGTCACACCAAAAGTTTTCAGAGCAGTTGAACAATTTTAACGTATTCTCAGGTAATCTATAATACCTGAGTGAAATGACAACTAGGGAAAATGTTTTATGCCACTTATTCCTTCCACGCAGAATATTTTGCATTTTGTCAGAGAGGCTATTTTTACTCTTGGTATTTAAAAACATGCAGAAGCAGTTAAACAAATCAGAGGCAAAATATTCCCAGACTCTTTACTTCCTATGATAGAACAGCAGGGAGGAATGCTAACAGCTAAGTTATGAACTTCCATGTTTTCATCATTTTTGTTAGAACTTTCCCCTACTGCCAAAACTCAATTTGCAGTGTTCTTTCTTGACCACTGCATAAAAACCAAAGGCTTTGTGGCTGTTCTTCCTTTGAATTATTGCATCCATGTGTTCTTCAGTGTGAATGACACGGTATGTTAAATTTGTGTGCTTACTAATTATCACTAACTACCGTTGTCACAAAATATAGCTGTAATGTGCTTCATAACAGTATGTTATGCAGCAAGGTCCCACGTTACATTGGCTTGTAAATAAAATGATACCGAGAAGAACAGTTTAACGTTTCCTTTGTGTAACCTCACAGCGCTGTGGCATCTGCAGTTTCATCTCTATGCTAGGGAAATGAGGCATAACAAAATACCAGAATTGCTTTTTTCTATATCTGAAATGTTTCTCAGTTGGAAGTTTTTTCACTTTCTTGGTTTCATGTATTTTAATTCTAACTTATTTCCAATATCATGGTGCAGAATAAATACAATAAATTTAAAAATCAAATATTTAAATAAATATAATTATTATAAAAATATAATAAGTATGGCTATAGAAAGGATCTGATTTCCCATACTGTGTTTTGTTTTTTTTTTTTTTGTTTTGTTTTGTTTTTTTAATTCAGTAGTGTCCACTGTTGGTAAAACACAGCTAATTACTGGAAAGATTATGTGTGGCACTTGGAAATAATGGCATGAGTCTCCTTGTGCTTCCCTCAGGTGTGTAGCAAAGGAATGTGGTGAAATTCAAATCTAGTTTCCAGAATGACAGAAAAAAGTAGCTAAGTCTAAACAGACTGGATCAGCACGAGGGATTTAGATGCTCTTTAGTAAAAAAAAAAAAAAAAAACAAAAAAAAAAACAAAAAAAACCCCAACAAAACACAAACAACGAAACCCTAATCTAGTTATGTCTTTATTCTTTAAAGAATCCTCAGTGGCATAGATATCTTTAAATATACTTAAGAAAGAATTGCCTTACAGATTTTCCTTTATCTCAAAATTTGTCATCTTAAAGCCATTCCCACAGCCCTGAAGTGAAAACTGGGTGGAGGATAAAGTTTGGTGTCTTCATTTACTGAATTGTTAATTAATTCTTTTTGAGGCAAACCACAAGGCACCTGAGATTTACTTCCTTTTCTTGATCTGTTTTCTGGCTAATCTTACCACTTGAAGCTTTTCCTGTTGAAGAGTATTACAGAAACATCCAAAGCCTAAAAGAGGAATTTTTTGAACACCATATCTGTTCTCTTCTTGAGTAAGCACTAATTTTTCTGAGATGGCCTGCAATTTATTTCAGTCGCCTTGGATTTCTTACCGCTTCATTTTTGCTACAACGAAAATTCGGCTCTTTTCATATGCAAATGAAAATAGCTGTAAGGTCTTAAAGAATCTTCTCCTTTTTATTTTAACTACCTGGTCCAAGTTTCTATTTTAAGTATAAAGAATTGCGTAGATTGCCAGTTACATAGCTAGAGAAACATTTAATTAGATTATTTTAAATGGCCGTTTTCTACACTACATTAAAGCATTTTAATAATTTTTGGTGCCTTAGAATAACCTTTTAACGTGCAGGGTTTTTTTACAATACATTCTCCTCCTTATTTTACTCTAAAAAATATTCAGTAATGTTTTATGATCTTTTATTAGCCTCAAAACACATTTTTTTTCTACTTAAAGTCTGGTTCCCACCATTACATGTGATTTTTGGCAATTAGAAGAGTACTGACACCATTTGCTTAACAACTAACTGCAATGCAGGGATGTTAATCACCAATTCCCTGTGTCTCAGTCACAGATTTCAGTATATGTCCCACCTTAAAGATCACACTGCAGCATAAGTAGGAAAAACTGGAAAATTTTAAGCAGTGGTAATCTGAAAGCAAGTCTCTCCTTTCCTGCCAGGAACAAATGTGTATGACGTGCAGTATATAGCTTACATGCATAGTTTATAAAGCAGCTAATTTTACTGTATCCATTTTAACTTTGTAAATGTAGACAATTTTTTATGTGCATTGAGCACTGATGGTGGTATCTTTCTGAATACCTATGCCTTTTCAAACTAGATTTATTTATCAGGAAAAGAAAATGCTTCGATACTTAACATTCTGTCACTGATGATAAAAATTCATTGGTTACTTCTGTGCATGCAGTTACTCTCCCATCACAGCAAGTAATCATTCTCTTTATCAGTGATATTTAATTAAAGTTTCAGTGTGGAGAGTTGGTTTGTGTCTGAGTGACTGCATGCATTCAGTTACTGGGGTAAAAATATTTTTCACTCTTATACCTTAAATTTGGAAGTACTTACATTTATGGGGGATTTTCTTGACCCACTTGCTATAGTAAGACAAAATCAATTCTGAAAAGTTCATTCTCATCATCTCCATTTATAACTATTATTTTATATTTTGTTAAGAGAGAAACTGATATCTTAAATGAGTAACTCCAGGAACGGGATCTTTTCTCTGCTTTGAAAAATGTAGTACAAACTTTCTTATCTATTTGTGAGGCAAAATGAGTATGAAATCTGTAGAACATCAGCTGAAAAGGGAAAGAGTAAATGCAATAATACCTCCACAGCTGCCTTAGCTCTTTCAAATTCCTCTTCCAGTGAGTGATTTCTTGAGAGAAGAGGCCCTCCCCAACGCTGCTCCTTAGTTGATCGCACCTAACAAAAATAAAAGCATCAGAATGGGATGATGTACTCTGCCATGTTTCTGAGTTACTTCCTTAACTGCTTGGAGCACAAAATGTCCTTTTTCGTGGGCAAAACTAGTAGTGTCCTTGCAGGAATTCTCCTGTGCTGTAGAAAGATCATTCCTCATTAGAAGCAGAATAACTTGTCTTTCCTAGAGTTTTCTTATTCCTTAGGATGCTTTAAAGACAAAAGAGAGCCAAGAAAAGACAGTGGAAGAGTTGGGCTATCAGGGTAATAGATGGCTGTTTTGTTAAGACTTTTATCTTAATTGTTCCTATTCCTGTATTATGACCATTGTAATGCATTCCACCCATTAGAGAACCAGGTTTGCTATGACTTTAACTGGAGGGATAAATCCAATTTACAATCAGTAGCGCTCTGTTCTGCACCATAATATCAATCATAATGTCAATCCTATTGGAAGTACATAGCCATTTCCCCCCTATTTCTTTATTAAAAATATTTTATTCATTCTTTTTGCATAAAAGGCATGGTACAAAAGCAAGCAGTATTCAGTGATAACTTAGAAAACAACGAAGTGGCTTAATCTTGCAAAAGAGCTCTGAGTGCTAATCTCTTCCCTTGTGTTTGTTAGAGGTTACACGTATTAGTTATTTGCCTGACCAGGATCCTAACTGCATTAATTTACATGATGATATTACAGATGACTGTACTTATAATATTTATTTGCAATAAGCTGTGTTGGAAAGAACTGATTTTTGCTCATTTCAGACACACGGGGCTGTCTGCAAGTGTTGACACGTGCATTGCTGGCATGAAACACGCAGTACATTCGTGTATGTTCACATGATGTGTATCTTTCTGTGTATACTTGTGCCTTTTTAACTAAAAAGATGACATACCTGTGTCAGTCTAGCCCTAAAATTTCTGTTTTGTTCCTATGCACTTTAACAATAAATAGAACTTCAGACAAAAGATATAACTGTTTCAAACAGTCTCTTTCTATATGGGTGTGTAATGCTGTCATATGATAAAATGAAACTGATGTTCTACAGAGAATAAGTGGAGGTTGTCTGGATTACACGCCTTTGAGGAAGGTGCTTGGATTTAATTTAAAGTTACCAGGAGACCTTAATTTTATCACTGTTTGGAAATTTAATTGACCTCCTTGTTTCTCTTACTCCTTTTAATTTCAGTTTTACAGCTATTACTTCTTAGCCTTTCTTCAGTAGTTTAAAGCATGTTTAGTATTCCTTATTTTCTCTGTGGAAAAATACCCATTACTTTAATTAGGTTTTAATTGTCTTTTAAAAGATGTAAAGAGATTAAGATCTTAGCTCATTATGAGTTGTTTTTTTCCTCAGACTTTAACCTTTTTTTGGTTCCTTTTACTTTCCCTCATTAATTGGTTATAGCTTAAATACATAGCCATGCAGATAACAAAAGCGAACACTATAGCCCAATACCTGTATTGCTGTTTCTTTTTAAAGTGAGCAAAAGATCTCCTGTTCCCAGAAATTATGCCTTTTTCTCCATGCTGTTCTTGTCCCCATACTGCACAGGGAGCACTCATTGACATCCCTGTACACTCTGAGACATAGATCCTCTTCAGAATTGCCTTCCAGTGTAGTGTTATAGAGCCTGCACTGTCACTCAGAAACATGATTTTTTGAGTGGTTGTGTTGGAATTCTTAGTTATCTAATAGCTATCTTGGTCACCAACTCATTTTCATGACTGTCTTCCTTATGTTTTCTCCATTCCATTCTTGCATTATTTACAGGTTTTACCAGTGGCTTGCATATTTATTTTAAGATCAATAATACTGAAGAAATTATTTCTCTTTGCAGTCACCGAAGAACTCTGCCATATGCTTTCAGTTCCAAGTAAAAACCTACTGTTCTTGAGAACCTAAATTTAGCCAGTTTTATTCTTTTTAACAGTTACTAATTTTTTAATCAGGATATAGCGTGCTGAGTTAAACATCTCATTGAGTATCACAGAGCAACGTTTATCAATCCAACCTGTAATCTGATCAGAGAATGAAATCTGCTTTTGACATAAAATTCTGTTGATAGACATTAATTATGTTCCTTGCCTTTTCATTATTTATGAGTTGACTCTTGCCAGATGTTTGACTGCATCAGCTTTAGAATCCTTTCTTTCAAGTGACTGAAATTTCCTTAGGTCAAAGACAGTACCATAAATCATGATGCTTAGACTGATTAGTGCTGTAGAAGGGGACGGCGAACTTGTTAAGGCAATAGAGAGGTGAGGGGAAGAGGATAAGAAAGAAGCATAGAAGTTCCTTTCTCTGCCATGTGTCAGAGCATACACACTCTCCTTGCATAATCCACACAGGATACACCTTCTCCTCCATTAAATGCACACGTGCTCTCAGTCAGAGGGGACAGAAGTAGAAAAACCCACGTAAGCTGCATTTGCATATAGACAATGCAGCCTTATTTTGATTTGCCATAATCCAGAAATGAAAAAACCCACACGTAGCAAGCATGCTGCCTTTCACTAGTGCAGGAAGAGAAGGGATGGAAATGGAGTGCCAGCACTGGAGAACTTCACATCTCCAGCTGGTGATGGACTAGGACTCTGCAGCCACATCCCTAAGGGGAGTCCAACGTGTATTATGGGTCAGGGTGGAATGAGTATGTCTGAGGCATGGACAGTCTGCATACACTGTGGTTTGATATGCTCACCACTCTACAGCGGAGGTGCTGTAGTTGATCATTGGCTGCTGTCTTCAGGGGCAAAATCTTCCATTCCAGTACATTTGTGCACACCTTCCTGCGCTTGTAGTCTGCTTATGTGCTGTTGGACCTTAACTGTTGGTGAGAGGCTTAAATTATAGTCTTAATTTTTGAGCAGGTCTTCAAATAATGAGCTTAAACTGTCCCTTGTAACTTAATTTTATTAGAGTAACTGGCACATCCAAAAAGAGCCAGGCCATTCATTAGTTTTATCATAGCTATCTGGTAGAAATGCGGAATAAATTATGCATTCTAAATATTGCTTCCAAAGCTGCAGATTTCTAATGCTCTGCAGTCTTTGGGATACATCTTAGTCTTAAGAGTGTTGAAGCAGTAGAACTAGGTGTAGTTTTTAGTATGTCGAGGTTTTTTTGTTTATGCATTCTGAAAGAGCAATACAACGTCTAACATACCTAGAGAGGGCCAAGATTTAAATTGTATTTTGAGAGTTAAAACATAAGCAGACTTCATGCATGTATGTTTGAACTTACTGTCTCCTTTTGCTTTTTGGAATTGTCAGAGAGAAAACAAACTTTCAGAAACCCCCATCCACTGTAGGATATCTTGTACCAATAAACCCATAACAAGGAACTTTTCATTATGGCAGATAAAAGAAAGAAAAAAGATACTTAGTCTGATGCAGCTTAAGAATTAGTAGGGAACATACATTGTGAACAGAATACTAAGAAGCAAGTTGGCCACATCCAGTGACAGCTACCATGCTGTTGTCCTGTCCAACCTTCAAACACATTTCCTTCTTATTAATTCAGAGTTTGCCTTTGTGATGTATGACATAAGTGCTGGTAAATGCAGGATTTTGTTAAGAAGATTGTATAATCTTAATGAGAAAATGTAACCTAGTTGCTTAGTATTTCACTTGGAGGAACTAAATCTAACATGTCAAAGATGAGTGATGATGATGATTGTCTCAGAAACTGCTGATAGCTAACTGCAGCAAGTTTGACAGGATGAAATCTTTAGGGTAAGGCAGTATCTGTTGTATCTGCAAAGGTTATCCTTTAAATGAGATAGACAAGATCTATGGAGGACAAAGTATGGAAAACACATGCTTTGATAAAAGTGCTAATGTGATTTCTTTTACAAACAGATTAAGAACTCTGTCAAGACAGATGAGCCTGGTTTTGGGGAACTGACAACTTTGGCAGTCCACATGTAAGCAGGATAGAGCAGGCAGTGAATGAAAACACTACATTTCTGTGTAAACTAGCCAAAATAAGAACTTTAGGTCACTTATTTGCATTATTAATTACTGGGTCAGCATTTCATGACTTGAAGGGATTGCAAGTTTGAAGAAAGAACAGCTTGTGATAAAGCAAAACAAAACATGAAATATGCTAAAGCATCAGATAGGAATTTTATATTCCGCCTGTCCCACAAGTTGGCTGGTCCAACTTAACACTTTTTTTATTTTGAAATACTGTCAATTTTACAAAATACTACAGAGATGCTAATGATTGAATCTAAACCAAGGGGTAAGTGCTATTTTTTGCTCTTTCAGTTATTCTAGTGTAAGATAAACAGGAAATAGACATATAAATTAGAGATTTTACATACTAAATTTGCAATTGCTTTTCCAGAGAGCAGCAGCACTTAGATTCTGGAACAGTCTACTTCATTTACACACATCTAAGTTAAACATAATTATTACTAATAATTATTATTATATGTACTATTAGACTGAAGAAAAAGTGTTTGGGGGCTCTTAAAGATGAGAAGGACGATGCTTGTGAAAACATGTTGTCTGTCTAAGGCTGATGATATTGTGCAACAGATCTTTTCCATTAAAGTTATGCATATTGTACAGAAAGAAGGCATTATGCATTGGAATTCATGGTAGGCTTTCCAAGGGGGAAAAATCCTGTTTGCAATGTAAAAAAGGCAGTGAAGAACAGACGACTTTTTCTCTAACAGCACAGAAATGAGCCTCTTTCTGTTTTCTGCAAAAAGTAGTGCATGATCTCAGGAAAGGCATTTGGCAATTTGGTACCTCATTTTTTCATTTTCAAATGGGGCCATTAACTTTCATTAATTTCCAGATTTTCTGTCTGACAGAAAGCTTTTCGAGTGCAGGCATAAAAATAGCTGTGGAAGAAGAAAAATTGTTTTTAACTAGAAGTGAATCCACTGAACAACTCTCTCTCTCCCCTGTCAGTAGCATTAGCTGAATTTGAAAACTTTTGGATAAGAAATAAAATGCAGGAAAGATGATGAATATGCAATGTGAACTAAATGAATGCATATATAAATGTATGTTCGTATACATTTATGCATACATACATACTTAATACCATACAACTTTCAGTAATTTCTACAAAGTCCTGTTCAGAGTTACCCTATGAGAGTGGAACTGGGCAAATCTACAAGCATGCAGCCCCGAGACCTCTGTTTTGGAGTTCATTTTCCAGCAGGAAAAAGTTCTTTGAACACATTGCTCCCCCTCTCATGGAGGTAAACTACTAAACAATGTTGGCCTCACGTATTGCTTATCATTTCCCAATGTTGTGTATTTCTGATTCACCAAGAGACCTTGAAAAAAGTTATATTTCAGGGATAAACAACAACTACAAGTTCAAATTTCAGAACTGGAAGAAGGGAAGGAAGATGCTGCTGTAAATTGTAGTTTGAGGCCTTTGGACAGGAAGGTCACAGTTCCCTGCAGTATTAAACTGAATGTTTGAAGGTGATGAAATAGTTAGGCTGGTTTGTAACATTAATTTGGAAGCTGTGTGAAGATTCAGCTGTTAGGATTTTAACTGATGATCCTGAACATATCCCTTAAATATTTCGTCCAGCATGTGAGTAGTTAGCCAATAGGACAATTCCTACTTGCCTCTTCAATGTTACTAAATCTACCAAATGTCTCTTACCTGTACTGCAGGTGCTACTTCTAGTTCTGATGTTGAATCAGTGTCGAAAGCGCTCTTGACATTAGTCAGCTCAGACTGCGATCTATTTTCTGTGGACCTAGAAATAACACATTTACAGACTTACCACTGTACCCTGATACACTGCCTTATGTATTTCAGGCTTACAGCCCGTGCTGGCCAATTAGTTTATTTCTTTTTGCTGAGCTGTTGAACTTGGAGATATCAAAGGTGCCTGGAGCCTCCTGAGTGTTCCTGCTATTCAGTTGTTCAGTCCCATGCAGACAATAGTTAATGTAACAGAATCAAGCCTAATTTACCAGTAAAGCACTGAGCATATATGAGCATGAACCCAGTCTAGTGCAACGGAGATGATGTCTCTATGACTTCATAGTAAAGCAAAATGAGGTTTGGTAATGGCGCAAGACTGCAACTGCAGTCTTTGTCTAACAATTAACCACTGCTTTACAAGACTTCAGCCTCGCTTATGTGCTCTTTTTTTTTTTCTTTTGTGCCACTATATCATAATATTCTTACTTAGAAAACAAATGAAAGCAAAATTTGTACCATAAAAGCTCTTTTGATTGAGCTCTAGATGATGATGATGATGTTCGTTCTGCAGAAGGATGGACCTTGCAGTTCCTGTCTCCAGGAAAATTGACATCATCCCATTTCTCAATCTGTGTCTGAATATCAACTGAAAGATAAGAAAAGAAGAAATGAATCTTTCAAAGAAACTGCTGTTTCTTAAATTAATTTTCCTCTGTTAAGTAAATGTTCAGAAGAAATTGTGAAGCTGCACCACCAAGTATTGTTTTAATTAAGGTCCAATATACACAAATGCTGTGCACCTTTCTTGCAGATATTCTAAAAAAAATATTTGGAATCTGCAACATTTGCTAAACAATGATTTTTAAGGCTGTGTTTTAGTTTCAGCTGAGGTGGAATTGTTTTCTTTAGAGGGTCTGGCATGGTGTTACAGCATTCACAGTCAGAATGTCAGTGGAAATCTTGACTTAAAATCGGTGATTTGTGTGTCAGATATGATTAAATTCTAGTTAGGAATATTTAATATGTTTGTATTGTATTCAGATTGTAGAAATAGAACTTCTAGTGACTACCACTTACAAGTGACTGTGCAGGCAGCCAATAGGATTCAGTGATGTTTGCGAAAATGAGATGTTTAACTCCTGTTTGAAGATAAAGTTCTGTAAAAGAATTTCTGTGCTGATGAATGGAACATTTCCTACCTTGGTATAAATTACATTTACCTTGCAAATTTCTCAATTGCAATGCAAGTAATTTAGTTTGTATGGAACTAAATTAAGTTTACCTTTTCCAAAGCTCATCAGTAGATCACGCTTGGCAGGATTTTGAGTTGTGTTTGGGTTTTTTGTCCAAATGTGTAACTCTTTTATCAAGAATGGAACTTTTTTCTTTAGTATGCATGATGAAACAGTATTAAAAAAGACTGTGTAATTATTTGTAGCACTTGCAGTTCTGAAAAGGACACTCAGTGCAGCCTGTCTCTAATGTGGGTTCTTTTCTCATGATATCCCTCTACATTTTTTTGCTTTTACTGATCCTGTCTAAATTCTTTCTTGGAAACTCAGATCTTGTTTGCAAATTTACTGACAGCTTTTTAGGTGTATCAAAAAAGGCAAAATTTACACAAAGTTAAGCATACACTCCCTGTTAAAGTGCAGTGCAACAAGAAGTCTCATCTTGCTCACTATTTTGTACTAAGAAATAAACCTGTGCTAAGCAAGGCTGTGTAATACTGATATAATAGCTACACTCTTACCTAAATCTAGTGAAGACTTGTCTGAAACTCTGACAGTCTGAACTTTCTGTTCAGTATCCACACTGATAAGGTCAGAATTGTCTGTCTTCTTTCTGTGGGCGGAAGTTTTTAAGCCTTCACCTCTTGATGGATTCTCTGATTTCTTTGCTTTGTTTTGGGTTTGTAAGGCAGGTTCACTAAGATCCAAGAGATCCAGACCTGTTGATAATACTTAGAGACAAAATGTTAGAATTCAGTGTTGTTTTAATTCAAATAACTCACATTTGTTTTGTTGTTGTTTTTTCTTAGTTGGAACATGATTTAATGTATTAGACTATAGTAGATGTATCTTTCCAGGCTAAGGCTATTGACTAGCAAATTCAATTATAACTAGTGATTTCAGGTGCTTAACTGGGTGAAGTTTAAAAAAAACCTGATTTGCAAGAAAGGCTTTCACTCTGAGAGTCTTAAGATTGTAGCCTAAGACCACATTTCCTTCTGTTTTGAAGGTTTCTTGTATAATTGAACATTTAGATTAGATTTAGTTTAATGCTATGACTTATCGTGTACTGATAAAAGTTGCTTAGTGCACTACTAAGTCACATGCCAGTAAGGAAAAAAAAGGAAGAGTGGACAACTTTCTCTAACATTTAATTGAGAGATTTCCTTTTCAAAGATGCTGAATTATGCTTATTTTCATTAAACAACTACTTTAAATAACTTAAAAAACATATTTCTGAAAAAACTGAACCCATCTTTCTTGTTCTGGAAGGCAACTCACCTTAGTTTCTTAGAACTAAGCATGATCAATTGAGCCATTGATTTGTGGCACCAAAGGATATGTCTTGGTAATGGAACTCTGTAGGTAATGTTGGTGGTTGGCCTTGGTGATCTTGGAAGTCTTTTCCAACCCAAATGATTCTATGATTATTTGATTCTGTAAGGTTAAAAATGTTCCAACTTCGCACTCTCAGTGTTTCTGGACAAAACTTAAAAACCAGAGAGGCGAGTTCATGTTAGTTCACTGTGAGTCTGTCTTCTTTTAGATTCTTCAAAAAGTCACAGTATAAACTGTGTTTTGTGTCATTTAAAGGAATTACGATCAAATTCTATCATAAATATTAGAATATATTGCTGGACAAAACAAATGTGAAGTTTGTGAAGTTAATGAATCTTTTTAAGATAGGAAAGGAACCAGAGAAAACAAGAGCTGTGTTTGATTCATCCAGGTGTTAAAGTTTGGCAAAAACCAATAGATGCCACTATTTTCCAAAGGCTACATCTGCTAGAGAAGCAAAATACATATGAAGGGTGAGAAAGAAGAAGTTGTGCAAGAAAAGTTGCAAACAGAGCTAGCTCTGGCACGGAGAGTATGATCCTAATAAAAAGAGAGCTGTGGATCTAAATCATGGCTGGCAAAGGATCTGAGCTTCTGAAAGTTAAGGGTTTTGCTGTACTGAAAGAAGGCTATTGCACAGAGGACTGTAATGTAATCTTTTCCTCCTGGAAACAATCTCTGTTGCCTGAAATTTGACCAACTTCTCTTGTCAAAAAAAAAACAAGTTTGTGGTTATTAACTGTATCTACTATCATTGCTGTGTGTCCTTTTCAGGATGAATATTGCATATAATAATAAAATGCATTGCTTTAGCTTATAAAGACTGTATCTATATGTAAGCCAGTCTTCAGTCCGAGTTTTATATTTATGAGTTATTTGAAGAGTAACAGTTGAAATTCTTTAGCATGTAAAGAACAGGAAAACTTCTTCATTATCAGTTTGTAGGGGAGGTGTTTTTGGCACATGAATTAGCATTGTCTCTTGTAGTGCTTTAGCTATGTTCTTAGGAAATTACCAAATTTCATCAGTCTTCATAGAATAGAAAACTTTGTTATTAAGAACATCTGATACTCAGGGCAGATAGAGGATTTGATGCAGAAATAGGCTATTTAGTTTTACAACAAACAACAGTCTTAAACAACCTGAAACATTTATATTCATCTCTGTAATATCTTTAGCTACCAAAAAGGAAATAATATTTACAAGGGTTCATTCAATTCTGTGTTCCAATTTTGTTATTAGAACTCATATACTGCTTTAGACATGTAACAATATAATTAGATGTGAAGATAATCACTGTCAATCAGTCACTTAGACATTTTTATAATTTGCGTGTGTATATGCTTTAATTAAATGGCTTCTAACAAGGCAAGTCATTGCATAAGACAGCAGTAGAACATAGTAATCTATTGATTTTATGCTGTTGGTCAGTCAGCTCAAGTGCTTTGAATAGAAGGTGACCAACTTCTAAAAGCACTTCCGCAGGGCGCTACGTTTCTCTCAATTCTCACGTCTTTCAGGATTCACTCCGTATTATCAACATCAACACAAAGCAGAAAAGAAATTTGTGGAATCCTTTCATTACTGAAGTTTCCCAACTTAGCCTAGATAAGCTGTTTTGATGTCTTCCCCTTTTCTCAGACATCCCATCCAAGCCTTGGTTAAAGCACATGTTTCTGAAGAATGGGTTTGGATAAAACTAAATTAACTGTGGCTTACCTGTAGGTTAAATTTTTGCAAAAACAAAGTTTGAGGATTTGTTGAATAGATTTACACTTCCAGTTGAAGTTGCCTTTAATTCAAACTCAGAGATCTGCTGGAGTAAATGTGACTTGGATCACACCAGATTTGACCTCAAAAGTAATGATCAACGTTTTTTCAAATAGATCAATCAATTATAATCAGTATATAATTTTGTGCAAATGGTAACAAATCTTTTTAAGTGAGTTAATGAAATCACTTGACAAAATGCACAATAATTAAAACAAATTTTTAATCTCTATTCAGGGATAGTACAGAAATTTGTTTACCTGCAGTATTTGAAGTTACAGGCCTTGCAACAGCTTCTGGTTTAGTTTCACAGAGAAAGTCATCAATGGAGGGACTCAGAAGGGGTCTGCTTTCTTGTTGCTCGTTCACTAGCTAGCAACAAAAAAACTCAGGGTCACAAAGTGTTGTGTTGGGTTGCACAGTTAAAGAAATGAAGCATTTTTGTAGAAAATCGTGCTATATTTTGGATTGTTAGTGAGTAAGAGATTGAAATTAGGAGATGCACAAATAGCTCCAAACTTAACAAAGTTATATCCCAGTTTTATTATACTCCATGGGAATTATTGCATACTCTTGCTTGTAAGGCGTTCAAGGTGTGATGTAACTTCCTTCAAACCAATCAGTGAAGTTGGCCTTCTCTATCAGAAGGAGACTAAGCAGGGATCTTTTAATATTTGGAAGCAGTCTTTTTCTTAGCATGCCTCTCCACAGAATTTCCACAACACCATTCCATCCAGAAAATATGCATTAGCCCATTAAACAGTAAGTTGCTGAGACAGAAAACACTTCTCTGCAATACAAGGACATATGAATGACAGTGGATGGTCCCTGGTGAGTTTATGAACTTCCTGCATGAGTTTTGACTGTATGAAGACTCATAATACAGTTTGTATTTATGAGTAGTTTTCCTTTTTTATTGTCATTGTAGTTGTGCATTGGTTTTCTACTACATAAAAGAAATCTCCATATTACAGGCTTTTCATGTATAAAGTATTTTAAAAGATAAGCAGAATGGTCTCTTAAATAAAAATCTCGTCTCTACTATCATGCTCTGAAAGATCAAGCCCAATGGTGAGCTGGACAGACAACTGATGGTGTGCCCTGCATTGATTTCATCTTAATAATATGAACAGTTTTCTCTGTGTCTGTTACTTTCATCCTGAGCTCTTTCAGCCTTAATGTAATCCTCTCTCCTCCATTCCCGTCTATTTTTCCTCTTTCTGCTGTCAAGTTATCCAGCTGTTCTCTTATGTGTATTTGAACTTTTGAATTGAAGATGCTAATATGGAGAAAAACTGGCAGAAAAAGGCATTCCTTTATCCTCATTTCATGTTTATTAATTACTACTATTTAGCTACCATAGTAATGGTATTGCCACTAAAGTTACTATGGCAAAACAGCTTAGGTTCACTGTCATTAGTTACTTGATTTTTGTATTCCAGTGTTGCAAGGAAATACTTTTTACTTCAAAAGCCCATAATTTTGATAGATCAAACTTCTAAGCTGGTACTAAAAGCTGGCTGGCTGCATAATATGTGCGCTCATTTATTTGCCTGGAATCTTACGGTTTTGTACTGAAATATCAATTTAAATGACTAACATGGAAGACAGATAAATGATTGCTTGCCCAACTGTATGTAGCAGAATGTGGAAATGTGGGCATTTAGTTAAGAAATCTGGCAGTGGTACTGTCTCAAACTCTACTTCTGCATGCTAAACCGAGACTGCAGCTGCACCTTATAAGGGGAATTAATCAGTTGTTTTATAACTATCTGCATTGAACACTCACTGTCAGATGTTATTTGCTTAATTTGGTAAATCTCAAGATTGATTGGAAATTGCTTTTATACCAGCTGAACAACTTTGATTTCCATTAAAGGGGGCTCTACTTTGTCCATGTTATCTCTAGCTGTATATATTTACCTAGTATTTAATTAAGTATTTAAGACTTAAGATGACTTAGGACATCTCTATAGATGCATGTTTGTCTGTGCTTTGGTGATCTATTGGTGGAAAAAAACAAGAGTGGGTGCCTAGGTAATACTTGACCAAACTAGTTTCAGTATTTTAAAGGTTTATGGTCAACTCCATATTAGCTCAATTTGTAAAATTTGCTCAAATAATTCTATATTTTCATTCTAGGCAGTAGCATCAGTAACAACTGTTGTGCTTTTGCAATAAATTGCATATTCTGGTGAGCATAGTGTCCAGCAGAAAGATTGTCAAAGCATCTGAATCATCTGTGTCTTTATTTTGTGATAAGCTACCAACTTAAAGGAAAGTCTGACATTGCTTGGAGGGGGACAGGAAGGATTACAGAAGAGTGACAGTATACCAGTAGTAATAACTGTAAATGTAAAAACTTCTATGAAGTACTCTTTCCATATATGTACAGGTATATCAGTAGGGCACATCATCATGTACAATTTAGATGCTTATCTTTACCATTAAGTTCCATGGAAATTTTCTTAGTAGGAAAGAATGAGGAAAGGAAGAAATAAATAGGGATTATGAGAAGCAAGACAGCCAGGATCACTCACTGGCGACACTAGTGAAACTCTGAAGTCCAACTGCAGAGGCAATTCAATGCCCAAACCTGTTGGCAGAGCTGAGAATAAACTGTGGGAAGAGCAACAGTAATTCTGAGAATCACAATAATGAAGGAGAAGGTAAATAAAATAAAACCAATCTCAGGTTCTCATGAGTTTGACTGATGTGTGAAGTAGCAGATATCTATCATTTTTTTTTTTTTTTTTTTCAAAGCTGGTTAGCACATTTCTTAATTATGTTGTATTCATAAAAAAAGACCGGCTCAGCCACGGGACCTCATTAGTACGATACCAGAATTATTGTTCAAAGTCCCTTGATAAAATTTTTCCATCAAATTGAAGGATTTAGGGTGACATCTACTTTTTCATAACCAGCTTCGCCAGCAGACATTGAGATTTAATTTTCACAAAGTTGTGTCTTCTTTGGGATGTATTTGCAGCGTTTTCATTTAATCTGAAAAAAATAGGTTCTCTGACTCTCGCTACATGAATATGTACACTAAATTCATCAGAGATGGGCCACAGATTATCAGAGGGATAAAGAAAGCATTTTACAGTGAGACTAAAAGCAGCTGACTGGCGTAGTCTAACAAAATGAGGACTGTGTAGGAATACAATTTTTCTTCCTGTATACATAAAGGATATAGATAGATAGATAGATAGATAGATAGATAGATAGACAGATATACAAGGGGCTGGATGACCTTGGAGGAGGAAAGCTATTTCAACTCTAAAAAGGCTGGCACAAGAATGAAGAGATCTAAGTTGGCCATGAAGAGATTTGTTCTAGAAATTAAAAGAATCTAAGTATCACAGCAGTGAAGTGTATGAACAGTATTTTTTTAGAGGGTGAGACAGAAAACCTAGCTTTTCCAGCAAGCCTCATACATGGCTACTTATGATGTGATTGCTTATAAGAAGTTGAGTATGACCCAGAGGATCTCCATCTTGTGCTCTTATGACTAAGGACTGGAACTTATAGGAGTGCATTATTAAAAAGATTGTTCCTGTGAAATACAGTGTGCTTTCAACTGAAGTATTGAGGTTGAAACATGAAAGCAAATACAGGATCAAGTATACTAATTCTTGGTATATACAAACTACATATGTATGGCAATAAAACATATTAGAAAACTATGTTTTCGATGTGAAAGAGGTGTTTTGTGATGGATCAGACCTCAAGAAGTTAAATACTGCCATGAGCTGATATTTTTGCTGTAGATAAGTGGGCAGAGAGACAGGTTTCTGACATCACTGTGTATGCAACGCCTCTTGGTAAGTCCTCGGTCTCACACATCGTATTTAATTTTGCTACCTCCTATATTGTACCAAATTTATCCCTGTTTTCACTCTACTCAACTTATTAGAGTTATATCAGGCTTGAATTTGGAGTAGTGCTATAAAACATTCACGAGATGAAAGTTATTATCTATATTAAAGTAATAATTTATGGTTCTCAAGCACCTTTCAGGGTGAGTATTAAAGAATGCTTTAAAACATTCATGAATCAAATCTGGCAGCGCCGTGGAGCCAAGAAGTTATTATCTCTACTTTGCAGGCAAGAGAAGCAAAGGCAGTGAAGGAAGCTGACCGGCTGTGGTGCTGGGAGCAGGAGCAGGCTGCCGGTGCTGCACAGCAGTGATGCATGTGGTGTTTGTCCAGGCACCAAGCTGGGGAGACTCAGCCTGTGAAATTAGTGATTTCTGAGCACTCATTTAGCAACTCAGTACCATAAATTCTCATCTTGTCTCTGAGAATTTTTCTTTACAAAATCTATTCTAATGAAAAATGTGCCTTTAGCTGAAGCATACGTAGAATTTGTGAAGGATGATATTCCTAACAATTTGAAGAATCTCAACCACAGTATCAAATGCTGCTCCTAAATTCAGACAGTTGTACATTCTGGCACTGCCAGCACCACAGAAAAACCCGCCTTTTTTCCCCTCAGTGCTGCCATTGAACCTTCGTGTTCCAAAAAGCAATCTGTGAACTGTGCTGCTTTGGGAGGGACATTAGGAGAGCCAGAAGCATCATTTGATGGCTAATATCAGCCTCACTCCTTACATATGTTCACAGCGAGGGTTGTTTTGCACAGAACTGAGCTGAGACACAGAGGCCTTCTCAGAAGGCAGTTGGTGCTGCACCAGGGGCTGCAGTCGCAACGTTTCACCTCAGCAGCCGGTAGCGCTGAGGTGAATCCCCAAACCTCCATTTTCTGTGCCCTGCCACCTCATCCCCAGATGGCTGCATTCCCCCATCAGGACAGTTTATTTCTCACGGCTGCCTGCACTGGTGGATTTTTGCCTTCCTCGGTGCTCAGGTGTGGTTGGTGCTCTTTGTGCTGTCCCTAGAGAGGCTGTGAGGAAAGGAAGCGGCGGTGTGTGACGGTCCGTCTCTGTGCGTTCCTCAGAGGTGAGAGGTATGTATTGGTCTGATGGGCAGGGATAAAGCAGCTGGATTGGGATCAAAAGGCTCTAGAAAGTCTTGGGTGGATTATAATACGTGTGCTGAGGGAAGGTACTGCTCCAGGAGAGGGGAGGTGGCAGCCCCACTGAAAAGGCCTGTAGCCATGAGGGGACCTCTCTTCTCTCTAGCAAATATGCAGCCTGGTCTCAGCTTTCACCAATCACTTGTCCAACTCCTCCTCTGCCCTATATTCATCCCTTAACTGTTCTGTGCTGTATTTTCTCCCCTTGTAAAGGAGCACCGTGCTTGGTAAGTTTAATTCTCAGAGGTGCTGCTTTGTGGGCACGTGTGGGCACAGCCTGCATCCAGCTGCTGCTATGGTGACAGCTTGGTCTCCTGTGAAAACTTCTTTATTTTCTGTCCCTGGGTCCTCTGGTGTGTGGCCTTAATGCAGGTGCCTCTCATGGTGCTAATGGTGGTGGTGGTGTAATACATTCTGCAGGAGAAAAGGTGAAACTGTGTACGGCACAGCAGCTGTGGAGGCTTTGGTTTTGTTTTGCTCTCAGTTTATGTTGTGGAAACAAATTTATGACGTTCCTAGACAGTAGCCTGATTTTACACACACACACACAAAAAGATAATTTTAAAAAGAAAGGAAAGAAAAAGATAAAAAGCTGGATTTGGGAGGAAGTGGGTCTGTGCCTTGCAATGGGACTGTGAAAGGTTTGAAGGTTTTCGCAGACGAGCTGAGCACACTGGTACTCGGGGCCAGCTGTGGGAACCAGCTCCATGTCTGCTGTTAATTCACAGCTGATGTTCAGCTGTGCAGCCTGCCCTGCTTGTGGTTGCAGGTGCTCTGCCTGCTCTCGCTTCCTGGAGCACTCTGCGTGCACCACACCGAGGGTTGGAACGTGCTCAGGCTGTCAGTAAGGTATTATGGTCATGATGTTTTTAAATCCTCTCTTTCTGTGTTTCTGATGTTTGTCTGTTTGCAATATGCCATAAATGCTGTTTTGTTTCTTTCTTTCTTTTTTTTTTTTTCCTTAGTATTAATAGAGGATAACATAATGCCAGTCTTTAAGATAAATGATTTAGGAGCTAAATTGTGGGGCTCCAGCCAGGCAGAGACAACTAATTAGCACCTATGTTTTGAGCACATGGTGAACTAGTTCTCTTAAATTAAATGCCTACATTCCCTCCGTGTTCAACAGGGAGAGATAGATGACTTGAAAAGCAACTCCAGAGGGAGCACTGTCTGCCTAATTTAGGCCCTCCTTCAGGGGGCTCTCGAGGGCTCTTGGCTTTCCTGCCCATTCTGTATGGAGCTTAATTTAGTAGGACTCTTTCAACAGGCACCTAAAACTGAGCTCTAATTACCTACACAGGTTACTTGAATGGGATTTTACCAATTTTGTCACTCTAATTGCTCAAGGAATAAATTTAGGAAGCCCCAGACTACAGCTGGGTCCCTGTGCAGTTCAGCAGTGGATCTGATAGCAAGCATTGGTGGCTTTTGCCATTCCTCTGCCCACTCCGTGTCCTGGGGAGTGTGGTTGAGCTGTGGAATGGACCAGTGGAATGATCTGTCTTAAAAATCTCAGGGGATTGTAATGAATGGTCAGAATATGAGAAAGCAGGAATCTTTTAATTTGGAATTTCTATAGGAGAAGTTGTGTTTTGGAACTTTAATCTGAGAGAAACTTGTCTGTTAGTTGAGTGATAGTAGATAGACAAGTGAACTAGATGTAGTAGATTTAGTGCTATACTGTTGTTTTAAGTTTTAACCTAACCAGAGGCATTAGCAGACTTCAATCACTAATAATTAAATTTCTATTATATATTTATATATATATAGCAACAATTTCTTGATAATGCTCATGAAAGTTCTCTTTATGTATTTAGCACACCATGATCTTTAGTGGTGATCACTAAGTTAAGGGGAAGCAAGCTATTTCTGTGGATTCATTTCCATTAACTAGATATTTCTAAGTATTGGTGAGCTGAAACCATTTCAATTTGAGGTGGTTGTTTACTGAAGCATAAATTGAAGTTCTGTATCTATGGATCTAATGATCTTGGCAGGAAAAGTAGTGGGATTCCTCCCCTTTTTCTCAGAGGAAGGCTTGAAAAAGACATCCTGTCAAAACCAGTAGTCTCATGCTAGAAGTTGAAATTGCATGAACTGTACTTTTCTTCCCCGACTTTTCTAGCATGTCCATAAGTATTTCACAGGGGAAAATTACACCACTCTCAGCCACAGTTTTATTCACAATCATACAGTAAGTGTGATAAGTACTTGACTTCTTGCATTATCCTTGTGCCGGGGTCATCCTAATCTTTTCTCTGTCACTCCAGTGTGAATTTATGTCCCAGCCAAACTGACATTGCAGTCAAATATTTGGTTTTCACAGGAACAGATCAATATACACAGCATACAGCGTAACTGACTTCTGCCTAACATGAATTGTGGGTAGCTCTAAAATGGAAACAAGCTCATTTTGCCCTCCTGCAAATAGCAGTTTGATGTTGTTGTCTCTCTGAAGACTAGTGTTGTTTGGCAGGTGATAACTGGTACTCTGTTGCTAAGTAGTAGGAAGTGTGTGTGGTGGCCTATGAATCAGAGGTGACAATATCCCACCTGAAATCACAGAAGCCCAGCTATTCTCTGGGACTTAATGCCCCAGACTGACCCAGAGCTTGCGTGAAGGCTGAGAAGCTGTGGGAGGATTACTATAGACACCATGTTGGATATTTAAATTCACAGGAAAGCAGTGTTGTTTAAAGCTCATATCTAAATTGATATCTAAATCAATAAATGATAACATGTTTATGTTGCATCTTCAGAAACAGCAGTTGCACTGATTGGTGAGAACTGCTGCCATGATTGCTGTGTCACAGTAGCATTCCATCTGTATTTGTCAGTGCTGACCTAGACAGATTATGTTGTGTAGCTGCAGTGTAGGACTAAATATCTCACAATTCCCCATCTCTTTCCCTCTGATCTTTGTCTGGATAAGAAAACTAAAAGGGAGCACTTGCCAAATTTGGGAATTGTATCTGGCTCCTGTTTTTTTGGCCCCACTCCAGCAAGCCACTTACACATGTCCTGCCAAGCTCAAGGTTAAGCATGCACTTTACTGCTTTGCTGGATTGGAGCCACGGTGGAAAGGGATAAAAGATGGTGTTTTCATGTTTTGATTGTGACTGACAGTTTGGCCTTTCCTACTCATATAAAAATGTTAATTACTATAAGTCTGTTGCATTAAAAATAACATTCTCTGTGTAATTTAAAGGTAAGGGAAGTTGTTTGCTGAAAGAGCTGCATCTCCTTTTCCTGAGTGTTTAAGATTTTGCGTACCCTCACTTATGCACTGTCTGTGTGTTGCCACCATGTGATTTATAGTTTGGCCTCACCCCTTTCCAATAATACCTCAGTTCTTCCCAGTGGAGAGCCACTCTACAGGTGTGGTCAAAGACAAAATTAATTGTCACAAATGCTTAGAGACTCTTCAAATAACACAGATGCTAAAAAAAAAAAAAACAAATTGTGAAATATTCCTTTACAATGATTTCTGTTGATATTAGCTTATGGTAATATCTAGTCTGTACTCCTAAAATGACCTGCTGGTTAACTGAGGGATTAATAGATTGGACTTTTCAGCTGAGTAAATGAAACTCGTCCAGAATGGGCAGGCTATGGAATCCCAAAGCATTCTGTTGAGAAAGCCCCAGATAAACCTATTCTGAGGGGCACATGAAGAGGCACAGAAGTGCCATGACAGTCCCTACAGAGGGCAAATAGGATCTATCAGTGTGAGCTACTTCTTCCTGTGTCACTTACTGGGATTTCTTTGTGTGACAACTCCAGCTAAAGAAGCAGTCTGACTTTGTGAGTGCTTTTTAAAGAAATGACAAACTAGAGAAGTCCTGTTTCATTCATAATGCAGGTATTATGTGCCCTTGCAGCATTCTTGAGACAACGACTGCTTACAAAATAGTAGGAAATTATGTCATGTTCTTTTCCTTAGCTGAAAGAAAAGATAACTGCTAGCGTATTGAACTGAGCTGTGTGTGCTAATTCTCTGTGAATCACCAGTGATCTACAGATAAATTTGGGAGCTTTTGTGGATTGCGTTCAGCTCTGTGTACTGTTCTGAGTAGGAAACATTATCAAATGTCAGGTTAGATGAAAGATGTACACCTGCTTTTTTAAGACTAGATTTTCATGACATTAGCAACTTGGAGAGTTAACGGCATCAAAAATACCGTGGCTTATCATGTGTTGCTTTCATAAAGATCACGCTATTCTTACTGATCTCCAACTGTGTTGAGAATGACCTGTGTCTACTTTACTACTTGACCTATGTGTAAAACAGATTCATCAGTTACTGTACCCACGCTTTATTCCTGAATACAGGCTGTAATTATTTTAAAATCACGCCAGTTTCTTTTTCCTTCCTGTGCATTCTGTAGCATACGTAGAATCTGTGTTTCTGTATGCATTACCATGGGCAGGCATAGGAATCGAATCCTCGTTTCCTCCTACATTATCCTGGTTGTCCACTTGCCATGGCTGTCCATATGTCATGAATGCATGGCATGTATTTGCTTTGAAGTGGTTATATTTGCAAACTGAAATGCTTGCAACTTGAAAGGTGCTTGTGACTTTTTTCCAACTTTCAGTGCAATATAACAATTTCATTGCCCAAATAACAAATTAATTGCATACAGAACACTTGTAAGTATGTGGTTTGCAGTTCTTTAAAAGGATATTTTTACTCGCAGTGTTCATGAAGAATCAACAAATTTATGAAAATTAATTCCTATTTGTAAAAACTGATATGAAAAAGCAAGGCTAAATGAGCGTAATGCATTATTTACAAACAATTTTGTCCAGTTTTCTGTGCTTATGGAGTTGCTGCACACTTTAAAAAAACTAAACAGTATAATAAACTTTGTTTTATGAAAAAATTACACTACAAATTCCCATGGTAAAACTTATTTCATGGAAAAATGTATTTAATTTCTGACAGAGGAACTTGGATAACTTCAGGCAAGCAGCCAGTTTATGACTCTTAAGCATATTGTCAAGGCAACTTTCTTTACTATGCTCATGAGAATATTTCCACTGAAATTATACACACTGCCCTAGAAGCAAAGTGTTAAGCAATGTTTAACTTGGAGGTAAAGATTTAATTAATATTTGTACTGCTAAGCATGCATTTACATGCTTTGTACTTTATTGTGCTCATATTATTATTAATAATAGATTAATCTAGACTGGTTTGAGATGTACAGAAAACGCTGCTGATTAGTTTATCTTTAATCCTGTAAAAGGAATACAGAAATATGATTACAGATCAAGTTCCCCTGAAATCACTGAAGAAATTGCCACTGTTCTCAGAAGGCAGGTAGGAACTATTGTTGTCCAGAGTTATTGAAATTTCCTGAAATTGGGATTTTTTTTTTTACATTAATGTATATGAATTACTTAAAATGAAGTTACTTCTACTTGAGAAATGTTGAACAGAAACTCATTGCATTCACTTCAACTCCCTGCCCTTCTGTTCTGATGTTATTTAGGAAACATTTACTGTCATTCAGTGCAAGTCTAATGCTAAGAGGCTTAGCATAAATGTGATTGATTCTGAATAGATAGGACTGTTAACTTCTATATGGAAAACTGTTATGCAATTTCATATAGTGAGCTCTTGATACATGCCTTTATTTACTACTAAGAGAGTGATTTATGTATCTCTATTCTGTATCCTCTATAGAATTCATCAGTTTACATATTAGATTTAAGGAAAACAAACAAGAAATCAGCCAAGCAAACACAACAAGAAAACATCCAAACAACTGGAATGTAGGTACTGGAAATATTTGAGTATCTTTAGTTATAAGAAAAGGTGCCTGGTCCACCAATGGCATGGAGGTTGAAGTTCACTTTCAAAAAATGTTCCTTCTAATGTGGTTAAGAACAAATATGTTGATTCTAAGAATAAACAAAATTTTAGAAGAACCTTATGTTTCTGATGTAATTAATAGGCCTGTAGTCACAAAAGATCTCCCTGTGGAATATTTGTGTCGTAGCCTACACTTTTTATGGGGCACGCTGAACTTCAGCATGTTTTATTCTAATAATGCAACTTCAGCTCTTTAAACTTCCACTTTTGAATTCAAATTCTAAAATGAAGCATTCTGTACGTTAAGTTCTTAAATCATAAGTGGTCAATACCAAGGTTTTATTCTGAGCAATGTCTATGCAGTAAGCAGACAGCTCTTCTCCTCTCCTACAAGTTCCTTCTCTGAAAGAGTTGTTTGGCACTGGCACGGGCTGCGCAGGGAGGTGGTGGAGTCACCATCCCCAGAGGTCTTCAAGAAACATTTAGATGTTGTACTAAGAGATGTGGCTCAGTGGATTGCTGGCAGGTGGGCAGTTGGACTGGATGATCTTGGAGGCCTTCTCCAACCTTGGTGACTCTATGATTCTCCCTTTTTTCAGTTATAAACAGAAGTTGGGATAGCTTTCAATACAGAATTGGTATTTCTTTTTTCCTGCTGGAGAATATTTAATGGACTCCCAGTCTACTATGTAATAACAGTGTATCTGCCTCAGGATCATCTTGGACATGAATCCCCTTCTGCAGGTCTTATTTCCTTCTATCACCTTAAAAGGCTCCTACTACCAGTAGCTTTCCAATTTGAGTTCTGTTGAAGAATCTGAATTAGGTTTGATGAATATGGAACAAATAACTCGTGACACTTTGAGATTTACTTGTTTAAAATCAGGCTGGTAGTGCATTATATCATGCGCTTTTTACTGTTCTATAAAGCAATTTATCGTATTTTGAAGTTTAAATGTGGATCAAAGTACTTTATTGAATCAGCTCCTTTGAAGCTCACTGACCTGTAGCAAATGGGGAATTCATGGTGGACTGTATCATCAAACTTTGATGCCTGGGACTATTAAAGTTTAAACTTCTCATTAGAAAGTTATTAGGAAACAATTTTTAAGTGTGCTTTTTTTTTTTTCTCCTGCCAAAAATGTTGTGGAGAGCTTCAACAAAAACATTTGAGAATTGAAATCAAACTTCTATGCACAATTTTCTCATATGTGTCTTATAAATAAAAACATAATGCATAATTTCTATCCTAGCTTCAGTTAGCAGTATGTATGTTTGTTCACAGCTTACTTTCCATTAGTTTCTGAACTTTCAGCAAACTTGCTTTCGCTTTTGTCTAGATTTATTCATGCCAGAAGTGCCTCTTTTCATTTGTTCCAATCTCTTCTGAATTATCTTTAAAAGATAAAGAGAGACAGTGACTTACTATGGAGTTATATTCTACAAAATCCCATTAGTGTAGAAAGCTCTCTTGATGCTTGCAAGTATGAACTCTGGCAACTACTGAATGCCTTTTCTTACCAATAAAGTGACTTTCATTGAAAATAATTGGGATAGAATGACAGAAAATAGGTGCTGAAAGGCATATTCAATTACCCTCTGCTTACTGTAGTAGATTTGTTAATGCTGGAATGATTGTTCAGATTCCTTGTTGCCATGTATCAGAACAGCCCCACAGGAATCTGTAGTACTTTCTCAGTTTATTTGAAGATTTGCCTTGAGATCTGATATAAAATAAATTCCGAGTTGGAAACTTTGTCAAAATTTAATTCATGCTGAGTACTCATCAGCAAGTAAGGTTATTTTACAAACAGGGCTTAGGTAGGAGCTAATAAAATGTGAGCGTACCTGAACTGTTCTCTGTTGGATATTTGGTTTTAATCTTCTTTAGAGGAAGAGAGGAAAACGTAAGATTTCAGGGACTTCTCTATATTATCACTGTTTCTCAGTTAAACAAGGATTTGGCATCCCCTCTTTTTGGAATTCCTCTTTGAGAATCTCCTCTGAGATTCCCCCTATGCTTCTTTGGTGGTCTGCTTTTATAGACAGACATGGTTTGTTCTCCATTCATTGAAGATTTTAGGAAATCTAGATTTTCTAAAGGCAAATACTCTTTTACCTGGGCTCAATCCTAGCATTCTGCTGACAGATTTTGTTGCTTAGCTAGCTGTACTCTGAGAGGTGAAGCAGGGCAATATGTAATGAAATTCCTGAGAGAGAAACATATCTACACACACGCCACTACTGGGTTCAGTGGTGTTGATCACTTTTGAAATACCAGGCCTTATTTTCATGACCTAATTTAGTCTGGCGTGGGAATTCTGTTTGCAGTCAATTTGGAACTTGCACATTTCCCACTGTGTGTGGCAACCATATCTGTTTCATCATGTGGAGAGCCCAGATGAACGCTGATGGTGATGGTTAAATTTGTTCCACAATATACCAGTGTGTAACTCTGAATGAATGGTTTGAACAAGAGGTTTACACAGGCACACTAAAGAGACAGCGTCTCAAAACAACATGGCATCCAGACAGGGTATAAATGATGTATGCGACATGGTCATGGAGCTGTACGTCACATGGACATGATGCAGAGATGGCTATGGAAAATACTCACTTTTTCACTTGATTCTGCTTCCTTTTGGCTTCTGCACCCCTTTGGTGCATAGCAGGGAAGTTGGAATTTGCATTTAGTGGAAGAAATTACACTAACAGACATACATTTCACTCATAAATGTATCACACAATTGCTGAGTAGACTGACAGACAACTGGTACAAATGGTGCATAAACATTCAACGTTAAACATTGTTGAAGCAAATGAAAATTTTGCGCTTAGGAAGGAAGGGGCAGCATTTTGTGTTAGTTTCTAATTGTTCATCAACAATTAAGGGCAAAATTAGAAATGGCGCACTGAAGAGAGCAACCTTTTCCTTTGGGCTGTCAGTTCTTAGACAGAGTTAGAGCAGAAGCAGCGTTGGGTGTTCAGTACATTCATGGATGTGGACACCGCGAGGGAATGGAGTCACTGTTGGAGTGAGATGGAAGTGCTGTGCTGTGTGGCAGTGTTGCAGCCACTGACTTCCATCAGGTAAGGGGTCCATAAGGGGTCCACCTGGTGCTTGTTGGTACCTAAACACATGGGGCTCTGTGCACTGCAGTTACGTCTTTCCAGTGACTGGGCTTGTGGGAATGGAAGCAGGATATACAGAGTGATAATCTGCATTGGACCACTGGGAGCCTAGGGATGACTCTGAAATATCTCAAATACTACTGTGGAGTGATTCTTCCTCTATGTATGTGCTGAATATGGAACAAGTATAGGTTGCATGATTGCTGGCTTTATAAATTGGTATTTTGAATCAGGTTTAGGCAACTTGCTGAAATTTCTAAGAATCTTTTTATCAAACGGGGAAAAAAATGTTTTTGTTTAACTTTCACGTGAGAATGTCTCAACCCCAAGCTATTGACCCCGAGCAGCTCCCCCACGCTGCCGCAATGCACGTCCCCGCTCTGCCGGCCGGGCCGCGTGCTCTGAGCCCCGCGCTGCGCCCACCTGTGACGCCATAGTGAGGAGGGGCTTTTCCTCTGCAGCCTCATCCCTCGGAATCTCCTTCATCACCATAGCAACAGCCTTATCTGCCGCCCTAGAGCCTTTCCCCTACAACAGGGAAACCAACAAGGGCGAGTCAGCAGCAGCCCGAGCGGCACCCGCGCGACGCGACACGAGACGGCGCGTACTGCAGGAGGCAAGGTCTGGGTCGACGTGGAATGCACAAACACTGTTCAAAAAGAGCAATAAATCAGCAGTGAGCCTCTAAGTTAGCGTCGTGGTGTCTAGCCATAGTCTTGTTATTTGTTAGAGTTGCCCCACTGAAGTCAACAGAAGTATTTCCTGCTGCCTTGCTGCAGCCAGGCTGGCCAGAGTAATCCAGGCCAATTGGAAGGATTGGGATGTTTTGCAGGGTAGGTGTCCGAATGACTAAGGGCTGTGTCATCAGCTCCTCGATTTAATTTTGGTTACCACAGAACACCCGTTTACCACTAAAACATTGGATAAGGCTGATGTTGCAAATGAGGAACAGATCTTTGTTTTTCACTGAGGCAAACTCTCACTTAAATTTGGAAGTAACCTATAGGGCTGGGCCCAAAGCTTTTAATAACTCTAGCAATATTTTAAAAAGCAGCTTACATGATATAAACTCTGTGTTTTTGCTAACGATATATGGAGCCAAGTTCTGCTGTCATAGTGCTATGCATCTTCCAAAAAATCATTGAACTTGATGTAATTTAATAGAAATTTTTCTTAAAATGCACTTCAGATACATTCTTTTTTGAATCAAAAGAGTCAAAAACATATATTCACATCTAATTTAATATTTTAACCAAGCACAAAATGCCTTAATGTTGTCTGCCACACACTTTGTAGCTGAACTCTTTGCTTTAAAAGGGTATTTATCTTCTTGAATTTGTCTAAGTATCTGTATTTTCATTTCTATTACTCTTGAAGTGGCAGAGGATGCCTGATCATGCACTGAGCATAGCAGCAGAACCGTGCTATGCTGGAGACCCCAGGCACATCCTCACTGTTGTACTTGTAAAGCTCCCGTTGATTTCAGTAGAGGTTTTAGCTGTGCAAAGACTGCAGGATCTGACTCCATAAAAGCAGCATTTTCCTCTACACTTGAATATATTTAAATGTTTATTAACAGAAGGGATTCTTTACTACCATAGCATATAACAGAACTACTTCCTCTAGCAAAGTATTCAGTGTCCAATATAAAAGAAAAAAAAAACAAACACAAACACAACAACTTCTTTATGCTGAACTATATGACTATATGGTTTTTCAGAAACATTTCATCTATTGCGTGTAAGAACTCAACATACTGTTGTGTTTTTTAGAAGAGATTTTATTAATTGACAGATCCTTAATAGGTTTCCTTGCTTGTGCAACATAACCTGCTATCCTAAAGAGAGTTCTTTGCATGCTGCAAGAAATTCACAGAGCAAAAGTGTGTAAGTTATAAGCATGCTGGAGTAATGGTGCCTTTGATATCCAAAGAACTGCAAGGTCATGGTAAATTTAATTTAAATATACTTAAATCAATGAAAATTACTTCTAATTACTAAGCATATCAAAGGTTCTTGGCCAATTATGTATTTATTCTGTACATGACTCATATGATGCATTTCAGGTCTATGAAGCTCCGTTATTGAATGACATGTGGAGCAATCTTTAGCACTATTTCCATGCTACTCAATTTTTATAACACTTAGTCCTTTTGTGCTGAGTGATAGACCAAAACAGTTATCAGGTAGAAAGGATGCATTGGAAAGCATGCAGTGCTTTTTATTTCTTGCAGAGTAAAAAACCCACCAAAGCAAAGGTCAGGTCACTTTTTTGAAGACAGAGCCACTTTTTCTTCAAGGTTTCACCTACTGCCTGAAAAGAGTCATGATACTTGTATTAGTGCCTGCTGTTAACCTTTCATAAACATAACTGCAAAACCTTGGGAACGGGTGGTACCGTATATGACCCGTTTCATTAGCTTAGTGTGGATATAGCTCAGCATAGAATAGTAACCTGATGAATACTTATGTTTGTGCTGTTTCTCAGGAGTGAATGTGGTACATCAGCTAGTTAAAGCAAATGGTTCAATACTGCTTTTTTATTGGGTGTCTTCAGCCTTCCAGAAAGACTACAACTGGACAAAATCGGGTTGATGTATTTCTGGCTCCTCAGCCTATGATATGGAAAACATTGCCCTGAAAGTAGTAGTTAATAGGCAGTCTCCTGGGAACCAAAGAGAGAGACTACAGAGTAGCTTAATGGCTCAGATTTTTGTGGAGAAGTAATACAAGTGACCAATCTATTGGTAGGTCCAGATGTTTATATTAGTAACTAAAGATGGATTTAGCTGTAAGGTATTGAAGGTTAGAAATTTGGTTTGGTGTCTTTGCTGTAATGAATACTTCTGCATTCTGTCCTTACCTATGAGGTGATTAGGCTGAAGAACTGGAAAAAAATGATAGTTCATCTGTGACCAGGACAACCTTTTCACTGTTTAGAATTGCAGCTGAAATGATGATCTGTACTGCATTTATTACCATGTTCAAAGTACTCGAATCTTCAGCAATAACCACTGCAAGATTTACGTTTGTTTTTAAAAGAAAAGGAGATTGTGGCTGCTTATTTATTGGGCCTTTCTGAGTTTTGTGGAGGTTTTTGTTTTAGTATTTTGGCTTGCTGTACATATTTATCTGTTACAGCAGTTTATAGTAGATCAAACCCTGTAACTGTAACAGCCAATTTGAGATTTGCCAGATCTTTAAATAAGCAGTTGAGAAGGCAGACTTGCAAGTAAAGTTATTTTCTCATCTAAGTAAAGGCTTAATGAATGAATCTCATCATTTTCTATTTGTCTGCAATATGTTGATGGAAACAATTGTGATACAGGCCATGACAACTCTTCTTAATACTCTTCTGGAAAACCACATCCAAGTTACTGTTTTGACCAACATACTGTAGAGTTCTTATAGAAGCCAAAGACACGTTGGGATTATTCTATATATTAGTCTTTATTTTTTTCTTTAAACTTCTAAAATAACCAAATGCTTCGTATTTATACAATGGAGATGCCATGCTTGGAAAATGCACTAATTAGTCCATCTTAAATCAGAGACTGGGAACAAAGATAGAAATCAGAGGTGATGTTTGCATGAAATGAGTGGTTCATCTTCCAGAAATGTGGCTTAAACTTGTAATAATTGGTGAACATAAATTACTCTTTCAAGTAATTTTGCTTGAGTTGTGTTTTCGTGTGGTCTGATGCTGAGTTGAGCACAGCAAAGGGCAAATTTAACAGTACTCACAGTTAACTAGAAAAAGTGAGAATTGAGAATCTGTGTCATATTCTTGCTATGAACACTCAGAAATCCAGTCCAATTTCTGCAGGGGCTCAAAACAGGTATTTCAGTAGTCCTGGCACTTACTGTGCCTTTTGCCTTGTAAGTACACTGAATATTTTGTACTTCAACTTTTCAGTCCAGAATATTTTGCTGTACTTTGCTCTGTTGAGTATTATTCCCGTTTGCTAAAGTGAGAATCAGCTTAAATAATTGGGCAGAGCAAATGTTATGGAAGATGCTTTAAGAGTATCTTTCAGTTACAGTAGCTGTAATCATTTATGTTATGAGGAAGAACGAATAGGGATCCTGTATATGTTGAACTTGGGATGCTTGGCTGCTGCCCAGCTCCCCAGGCAGCTGATATATTTGACTTTTAGTACCAATTTAGCAGCCTATTCAGAATGGGTTTTATGCACTGTAAATCCTTGTGTTTTGTGTGATTTAAAGATGAAGGGACATGTATGTCTTCAGCATTATGCTGTGAACACTTTTACCTCTCAAAATGAGCATGCACAACTAGGCAATGGTACCGTGAGACTTCTAGTGCCCACAAGGTTATTGTGAGCTCTTGATTTTGCATAGGAATGTGTTGTTATTTTAGACTTTTATTTTTATTTTCTCAAGCTTTTCTGCTTGTGTTTTCTCCATATGTCTTTCTTTCCATCATCTATGCTTTTCTCGAGTTTCTTTTAGTAGCATATACTGCATCTTATACGTCATTAAAAATAATGAGAAGCCATATGGTGAGGCAGTTCTATGACCCACTAGAAGATGGATATTTAAACAGAAAACTCCCTTTAATTGAGGCTGTTGGTACATTTCTAACAAAGCACGGTATTCCTAACGTAAAGGGGACATCATTCCTTTGGGTAATGTGGAGCTGACAGGTGTGGAGGTGTATGAATGAGTTACAGGTCCTAAACTGGAAGTAGTGTTGTCAGGGTAGACCAGCTTTCAAGTCCTGAGCTAATATTTCCAATATCGTACTTGCATCCTTTAGAACCTCTCATCAGCTTTTCTGTTCATGGTGGTTTAAGCTCTTCTGACTCATGACCAAGTTGTTCATTCTTATGGTAAGAATATACAGTAAGCCTTGCCCAACAAATAATTTACAGTAAAGCAGCTAAGTCAGTAATGGCTGAGTTCTATGTGTACTGAGAATGAAAGAAGAGAGAAATCAAAGATGATCATTTTGATGGAATAATTCAGACTTCAATATTTAGATGGAAATACATACACATATGTGTATATATTTTGCTACATACGTAGAACATTGACAAAGAAAGATAATGTCTGATAAAAAGGAATTGGCACAAACGTTCAGATTTACCCTTACTGAATTGGGCCCTGTTTCCATTTAAATGTCAATGCTGTGGCTAAACTGCATTCTAGGTTTAGAAACATTTGCATTGAAAATAGTCTTGTTAGGGTTTCGGGTTGTTCATCAGTAACTGTTGCATTACGTGTGTTTCCTTTAGACGTTGTCTCATTTTGATGCCTACAAATTCATTTTGAAAGCCAAGTGGGACTGCTTCCAAAGCATCTCCAACGACAGCTCTGCAGAACCCGTTTTGCTCTAAAGAAACCTTGAATTATTGTCCTTAATGCCTCTGATCTGAAAGATGCTATGACTGTAAATTGGTCGAACATCTGCCAAATTAACTCCTTTTGTCTCAACTAGTCTGAGTCCTTAGGCTAGTATGCTGAAAATACAATGAAAAAAAAGGAAACTTGATTGGTTTTTTTTCC